CCTAACAATCCTCCTCCTCCGGCTTCCTCCCATAAAATACCCATCTCTTTACATACGAATGTACCTTCCTATTCCTCACCTCCCTCTCCGCAGCCTTCACTACCTCCTCCGCCTCCTCCATCGGCATACCCAGCACCCTTGTGAATAGCGCCATCCCATACGCCTCGAATCCCGACTCCGCGTTCAACTGATAATACACGCCCAGCTCCTTCTGTTTCTTATCCTTCGCCCATGGCCCCATCGGCACCTTATACAACTCCGTATGCACGCCCTCGAACCCCACCTCCGCCATCATCCTCCCCAGCCTCGGCACATCAACCGCCTTCCCAAACTTCGCCACGCCCTCCGCAAACAGCTCGTTCCAGCGCCTCATCGGGTTATTCGGCGCAAGACTCCCGTCATCACTAAACATTGAGATCTCATACTCGTCGACCTCGCAGTACCCGCCGGGCGCGGTATGCTCGAACGACTGCTCCACCAGCCGCCTCCAGTCACTGATGCTGCCGTTCAGGCAGCGCAGATGTATAAAGTCGAACTTCGAACTCCAGGTCCACTTTGACTCCGCGTCCTCGATCTGGAACTCGGCGTTTGGGGGCACCCACGACGGCTGGATGGGCGAGAGGTCGGTGCCGATGACGGTCGCGGACGGGTAGTGCTCAGCCATGTCGATGGCCCAGATGCCGGTGCCGGTGCCGATGTCGAGGATGCGCTGCGGGTTGGAGAGCGGCGCGACATGGAGATCGCCGTTGAGTAGGAGGAGGTTGATGTGGTGGACGATGTCGAGGCGATCTTGCTCGGTCTCGTCGTTCGGGAGGGGATACTGGCCCTCGCGGTAGGCGTGATAGCGGCGGCCGTTCTCGTAGCGGTAGCTGTGTAAGGGGATGAGCGGTTAACTTGGTTTATTCCGGGAATGCGGGCGTGAGGGGGAAATGATTGAATGGAGGTTGAGATCGTTCTGTAAGAAAAACGGAGCAAGCGCACTAAAGATCAACAGCAAGGGGTGGATGGACTCACGCATAGATACTAGAACTAACCGAAGCCGTTGAACCCTTCGTACTACTATCATAGCCCTCGTCGGACGATGAGTCTGACCTGTCATAGACGGGGTCGACTTCAATTGAGGAGTGCGGGTTGGTAGCAGCTATCTCCGACATATTTTTTTCTTTCTTTCTGTTTTCGCACAGTTGGATGAATGGCGGTGGCAGAAGGAAAATTTTGGGAAGCTTTGATAGGGAGGGTGTGGTCAGGTTATGTAGTAGTACTGAGGAGGGAGCCGGGAACCGAAGTGTCGGTGTGCCATGAGATGTGGGACGAACGCGATCTGTGCGTGACGGTAACACCGTCCACTGGTAAGTTCAGCGCCGGGGTGTCTTAAACTACATCACAGCAGATACACATTCCACTCTACAGCTGCAGATACTAAGTTACTCCTACTGTAGAGTAGAGTACTCTAGCTCTAGCTCAGTACCTAGTAGAGTACCCGCTGATATGCATATGTATGTATCTGCATTCATAGGGACAATCGACGGCAATTAGCGACATGTGATACGTTAAACTCTAGTACGGTTGTGCTACTTACCTACCGCAGTACTTGACTCTGGTCTAGGTAGTGAACTCTGCTAGAAACTCTACATAGAGTACGTAGTTTCTGTAGAGTACTCTAGATTACCTTGCAACCCCACTACTCTAGAGTACATGACAGGGATATCTTTTCCAACGATGACGCCTGTTTGGTTTGGTGCATGGCTAGTGTAGATTTTCTAGTCAGACACGAACAGATATCAGTCTCGAGGAAATGATAGAACATATTTGGAACATCACCCATGGCCGAGATAACATGGCATCCGAACCAAAAGCCCCCAAATTGCACTTCTACGGTAACTCCCGCCATCTCCCTTCGCATCGGAGAGCTCTCTAGCCCACAATGTGTATCACCTGCTTCCGGCACCAGCTTACCCAACAATTTGTCTTGCATAGACTCTTCGCAATACGTTTTACAGAGGGTGGTAAAATTATTGCGAAAACAGGGGTAAGCGAGTGCGCTAAAAAAAGCCTAGCGAGTATCAAATTTTGAGTGGCGAGTGGTGAATTTTCTACAGTACAATATCTAACAAGAGTTCTAGCAACGAACACCCGGTTCCTCCAACGAACGCCTGCACCAACGATCACTCGGCCCTGTTCCAGCGACGAACACCCGTTCCAGCGATGAACACCTGTTCCCGACGACGAACACCTGTTCCCGACGACGAACACCTGTTCCCGACGATGAACACCTACCTTCAAGTTACCACCTGGTATGACCCCCATTGGCAGCAATGACTGCCTCTATCCGCTCTGGCATATTGTTGATACATCTGATGATGTCCTCCTCAGTAATAAGATCTCATTCCTCAAGTATTGCCTCTCTAATCTCTGCTCTTCCTCTAGGTCTCGGTCTTCTATCATGCAGGTGCATTTTGAGAATACTCCAGATATTCTCAATTGGATTGAGATCAGGAGAGAAGGCAGGCCAATTAAGAGACGGCATTCTAAATTGATTTCTGATATTCTGTATATAATTAGTAAATGATCATTAGCAATCCGCTGAAATGTCCAACCTGCATGCCGAAGAGCTTGAACATAACATCTCTTTCTGTAGCTGACATCCTCTATACGAATAGACACCATAGCGAACAGCTGAGGGAATCAATACAGGCAAGAAGACATAGGTGAACTGATTGCTTTTTAAATCTCTATTATTATTCTATATACTATAACACGACAAAAAAAAATTTCACTCCGTAAACCATTGAGGTCCTCTACCCACCAATCACAGCACTCGCCACCTTCCGGCCCCACAGCACTCGCTAAACCCCTGTTTTCGCAATAATTTTACCACCCTCTGTACTGTAGACTGGTACCGTAAAATCTGAGAAATTTCGTTGCGCTGCAGCAGGGATGAATGCGCATATAGACCTATCAGCGGCAGACTTTTAACGTCAATCTGCAAGTTTTGGTGTAAAACATCCCTCCTGCAGCGCAACGAAATTTCTCAGATTTTACGGCACTCTTCCATCAACCCAAAATACTTACTTTCCCAACTAACCTAATTCCTTACTCTCTAAGCCTACATATTGGTTTTTTATCGTTCACGAAACTAAGTAGATACTCTAAGTAGAGTTTAACCCTCCGTTCCGCCAACCCATATGGGAGGTTCGGGCCTATCCGCATTTCCCCAACCAGTAATCCCTGGCGCTGGTTCCGAACTAACCGAACTCTTCCTGGCACCTCCGCACCTGCATGAATGGTGCTCTCAAATCCGGCAGTCGCTTAGAGTATATGTTTTAAACGCGCCGTTCCCAGGGAAACCGCCATATCAGCAGGTGCCTCACGGTCGAAATCCGTACCTACCCTCTAGCGTACCTACAATATGTAGGTGAGATGGAGCTTATTATGCAACGCTCCCAATAATCACCCACAGGAAAGAATTCCTCTCTGGCAATGTAGAGTAGTAAACTCGCGCGCAAAGTAAAACAACGTGGGCGTAAATCACTGGCTCGCTGCTCGCGTTTCGTCCATCAAAATCCTACAAAACTACCCTACTCTGGACTAGGGAATCCGCTAAGGCGCGGATCTTATATCATATTCCCACTACCCTGTCAAAGTGTCTCGGCTATGGGGTTGCTGGGGTGACATACGACTATTTAACCGAGCGAAATATATCTACCTACATACTTTGGCGTTGAGGAGTTGGGGAGAGTAGGAATTGGTGCAGCAGCAGGGCTCAAGACAAACCAAGTTCATCACAAAGTGGTGCCAGGGATCAACTAATGTAGATCATGGCATTCTAGACCCAAGTAGATCCTCTCGAAAAACCTGTTAAATGCCAAATGCAAGAGTGACGATGTCGGTGTTTCTTGAACGGGCAATCGCGCCACACCAGCGCTTATCCGCCGTCGTTTTGGAGGGGGTGGGGGTGTGCGGGTATCTAGACATGTAGAGTATGGGGTGGTCCGATTATATTATCCAGTGTTTCTGGGTGTGTAGAGTGACCGGGGGTGGTGGGGGAACAAGCGCATCAATCATCTCACTACAGTGGAGTCCCGATAGTAGCATTCTCGATAATAGTATGTCCTCGATAGTAGCATATATTTGGGCAATCCCAAACGAGTTGGTACAGGCAAATTTATTCTCGATACAAGTACATGTATATTCTCGATAGTGGCACATGAAAATCCGTTTCCGACCATATGCTACTTTCGAGACTCCACTGCAGCTGTACTGACCGATATACCCACGATGATGAACATTGTCTCTCCACCTCAGTGATTAGTCACGATCATATACATGTGTAACTTTCTCCTGTACCCTGGCGTTATCGTACCGAGCTGACCCCTGTTCCCTACCCCCCCGCCGTAAACCCTTCTCAGTCAATGATCGCGGCTGGACAAATGGAGGAAGGAGACGATAAGCGCACGCCGCCTAGCTGGAATGGGAATTGGCAGATTACATATCCTTGTCATATCCAAACTACTGAGCAGAGAGGAACAGGTCGACCAATTCCCGTTTTGGTCTAGTCTACCTAGATGCACTCCCTTGTACTACCGGGTGTGAATTCGCACACTATTGCAAAACATCATATTATACTAGTAATGATATAATAGAGACGGTGACGATCCACTGATGACAACAGTTATGCCTAGGTTCTGCCAAGTACTTACGAAACCTACCTACACATCTAAGTACTCCAAAGAAGAAGAGTTAGGGAACAAGTACAAGACATGCCAGCTCCCCCGAGCCTGGTATTCAAGCTCTGGTGCGTACTAAGACATGTGTACTCGGGGCAGGTAAAAAGTACCGGACAATGCAAGAGTTATGCGGTCTTAGACAGGGGTATAGGACCGGGGGTTCGATTGGTTGGGGCGGCGGACAGATATCAAAACCCGTGGAGAGAAACAAGTCTCGAAGGAAAACACTTATAGAAAAAAATACAGAACTACTTAAATTTACTAACTAGTAAACTACCAGCGGGTGTGTCCTCCATCTGCCTCTATCACAGCAGCGATCCGTTCTGGCATGGTATCTATACACTCTAACAGTTCATCCTCCGTGATCCTATTCCACTCATCCGTGATGGCAACCCTCATTTCATCCACCCCCTTAGGATGGGGAGATCTCATATTTATCCTATTTTTGAGTAGATTCCAGATATTTTCGATAGGATTGAGGTCTGGAGAACAGGCAGGCCAGACAAGAGAAGGTATATTATAATAATCACGGTGTTGTTGATTGATTATTGCCTTATGGGCAGGTGCATTATCCTCCATAACCACAATTCTGCCACCCTCGTGGGCTATGGCCTGATTCTCCCAATACCAGAAAAGCTAAAGAACAGGTTGTAAGATGTGGTGGTCTCAAGGGGACAAGTAGCGAGTATTCAGCAGGGTGCGAAGGGGGTAGTAGAGGTTGGTATGGGAGCCCATAATAAGGGTCCTGAGGGACTCTAGCGTGGTAAGGGTCAACGGGATAAGGGAAGCAGCGGCGCGGTGGTCTTTTTGAGTAAGAAGAGGAAATAATATTATATAGTAATAGACAGCGTAGGTACATAATACGTTGCGTATCAAAAGAAAGAAGAGAAAGAGAACAGAAACGAGGGTGAAACCTCCTAATATACCCAAGGAAATCTCCGTGATAACAAATCCAAAGTGACTCATATGCTTACGATCAACAGAACTCGATAGAATCCAACAGAACCCTTCTGACTAATCCAACTCCTCGTAACCTTGTGTATTCACTAATCGATCCATGAAAGGTGGATATAGGTAAGAGCTGTGATCGTACTCCAATTCCTTCTGTCCCATAGCATTAGAGAAGTTTTCTTGCCTCCTAAAATCCCCCCACATATCATTAGAGTTCTGTTTCTTGACTGTTGGCATGATACAGTCCTCTTCGTACTCTTCACTAGGTCTATGCATTACCCACATGTTACCTCTTGCACCCCCTAGCCAAACATAACACCCATCGGTCCAAATAACGCGTCTCCAATCATGTATCCACCAATGTTGATGGGCTAAGGTGAATTCAAGGTGTCGTTGTTTGTATTCAGCCTTTAAAAAGACCTTTTTGTGTGCAATTCGGTAGTGATAACCTTCCTTTTCACAGGCGTTCCATAGAGTCCTCTCATTTGCATTGATGCCGCAAATCTCAGAAATATCTTTATAAGTTTTCAGCCTATTTTCTGCATTTAAAGTTGCGGTAAAAACAAGACATCGACGCGCAGGAGTGTCAATTTTTGTGGGCTGGCCAGTTCTCTTTCTCTAGGGGGTCACTGGTTGTGAACAAATCCGCTGAACTATTGTGATGCCGAGGTTCTGATCTCTCGCAATTCTAGCAAAAGTCCATCCAGCATGACGAAGGGCTTGCAAATAGCAACGCTGCTTGTAGGTAGTTTCTTGGATTTTAACGGCTGGCATTTTCTAGACTTGAATTCACAGGCAGGTGGTAATGGCTTCACTGTTCACTTCACAGACGCATTCATCTATACTCATGATGCCAACCTTAACAGGTAGCCAGTAGTTCTCATGAACCAATAGAACTACTTGTAACGGGGGTCCTTTCTGACAGAAATAAAAGCGGATAGAATAAAGACGGTCGTGCAAGATAGACAATCAGGTTTCAGATTATTCAAAGATACTATCGCTAGAACTCAATAATCTTTAAGGGCTCTGCTACCGATAAGAACTTGATATTTTTTTTTGATGAAGACTGGAGAGAACAGGACTGAAAGGCGAGAATGAACATGAGTACTTATATTCCGAAGGCCTCTATTCTCTACTCCTAACTTCTTACTAAGTTCCGGTCGAGCCTTTCCTCGGTGCCGGAAACAATACCACCGCTACTCCACTTTTCTCTAAGCGTCAGCAGGTGTTTCCGATGCCCAAGGCAACCACCCTTAGTCAAAGTCTTTGTAACACCTGCAGCCTTGGTTGCCAAACAACCGGGGGCTGCATGAATGAGCTGCCGCTCAGATGTAAGCTTAATCATTGCTGTAGAGCTTTTCGTTTATTGTAGACTTCCCTAGCATGGTCTCTGCCCCTTCGGGGGACATACAATACGCGGAGGATACAGAGGATCACTGGGCAATCAGAACTTCACTCTGGCTGGTCTTCTAGTCACTGGCGAAGCATAGACTCGTCAGTCATTGCTCCCATGAATAGATCCCCTTCCTAGCACCCAGAATGTAGTTACTCTAACAGCTGGTAGCTAACCACACTGCCGGTACTTGCATATCACTGTGCAACTGGTGTAACGGCAGCTATGTATTTCGGTTAGGTGATAAACTGGAACGAGAAGCGGAGGTATTGTGTAGTGGGATTAGGATTTGTAATTGGGATTTCTGTTATGTTCTTTTAGTTTCTGTTATGCGGAGGTATTAGTCATCATCGGACTATGGTTGGATATATAAGGAGGCGTTGTCTTGTGTCTTTACCTGTTTTCTTTCTTTCCTTCTTTCTTTACGCATATGACGTGGGTCTATGGACGAGAGACTATAGTGACAAGGAATACAACCGAGGCGAGAACGTAGGAGAAGATATTCGTAACTTATGGACTATAGGGCAGTTCTGTTTGATCTGGTAATCAAACTGAACCCTATGACGTAGCGTAGAACAAGAATAATATTTGTGGAATAAAATTCAGAGGTTGTGTAAAGAAAGAAGGAAAGAAAGAAAACAAGTAAAGACACGAGACAACGCCCCCTTATATATCCAGTCATAGTCCGATGATGACTAATACCTCCGCATAACAGAAACTAAAAGAACATAACAGAAATCCCAATTACAAATCCTAATCCCGCTGCACAATACCTCCTATTCCCGTTCCAACTTATCGCCTGACCGAACTACATAGCTGCCATTACAACGCAATCTCTGTATTCTACTCCACGAATATTATTCTTGTTCTACGCTACATCATAGGGTTCAGTTTGATTACCAGATCAAACAGAGCTGCCCCATAGTCTATAGTCACGAATATCTTCTACTACGTTCTTGCCTCGGTTATTTCCTTGGCACTATAGTCTCTTGTCCATAGACTCTCGTTATAACTGGCTTCTAACAATAACTCTGAGCATGTAACCAGGCCCTGTGTGTATTCATACGCCAGACAGTTGAAATGGCTCCATTACACTACTCGGGCTATACCCCTGTCTAAAACCGCATAACTCTTGCATTATCCGGTACTTTTTACCTGCCCCGAGTACGTGTGCTCGACCCCCAAGAGTATATGTGGTGGAAGTCTCGGTCCCGGTACGTGCCGGATACTAGAGCGGAGTAGGAGTAGATCAAACTTGGCTGACTGTGTCGTATCAACTAGGTTTTGGGAATTTGGAATTGTTTGAGGAATTAGGAATAAAGTTTATTGCATTTGAATGTAGTGCATGATTTGTCACTCGTCACAATAAGGTTCATGATATCTCAAGGGTGCATTCATTATTACTGCTTGAATTGGTATGCCATGGGGTTTTGTGCAAGGTTTTGGGCCAATTGCAGTATCATTTGGGAGTCTGAATCTATTTTGACACGCTGAAGCATGGAACATGATGCCGGTTGTGATCTACTACCCTATTAACCCTACTCGAGACGAAAAAATGATTTATTGTACATATATATCACTTATTCAATGGATTTATATGTTCCCGAAAAAATATATCATTTTGACTATTGTTTTTGAGTTAGTTACTGAAAGCGCCAGTATTTACAAACATGTCAGTGCCTGAGTATAACCCTAGTGGTTTTCTAAAAATCAAGATTGATCATTCAAATTCTTTTCTATCTTATATACAGGAGGTGTGATATGTAGCTTTGGTGTTATAATTAGGGACTTTTGGTAAAGCAAGTTGTCCACGAACACTGCTCGTAATTTCATAGCGTTTCCGAAAACGACCAATCTTACATACCGTACAAAAATTTGAACTTTGTGTGTTTTTGTCTGATGTACAATAGTAGTCATGTTTAGAAACGTCATACAAAGCTAGGGTATCTTCATATGGTTGGGGTTAATTGCTGTCCTGACACAAGTATCTAGTACACCACGGAGATAGGTATTCTTAGCAAATAGATATATATGTAGGAGGTAAGAGAGGATTCCTCTCCTCTACTCTCTTTATACAATTAGATCTTATCTCCCTTGCGAGTGGCCTAATATATTTGGAGTGCAGATTGTGTAGGTTTCTTAGGACCGGCACCATAGAGGTGCATGGAGAGTGTATGCGAGAAGGTTTCATGCAAACACCCATACTGTCAGAAAGGTGGCATTCGGGCTAATATTGAAACCGTTCAGCTGCTGAAACCTGAGTGTTTACCATTATCTCAGGTCCCAATGCTCAAGGGTTTACAATCGTGCAAGTCATCTTCAGGACGAACTGACTTCGTTCATAGTCAAGCCTAAGTTGATGCCGAGCTATCAATATCCTCAGATTTCCATTCCTAGCGGACATTGCTCGCCCTGAGCACCTACCATATCTGGCACCGTCAGTGTATACCACTCGCACCTAGCTCCGCTCCAGGAGCGACTACCTTTCCGACACCGCCAGGAGATATGGCTTATGTCTGGAGGGCACTCGACAATGCTCTGCTCGCCTGGACCGCCATGGGATTACCTCCCCCTCTGGGGATACTAGGATGGAGTGATCCCACCCACAGCACCTATGGAACTTTTGCTTCTTTTCATTATGTCAGTAGTACCATACGAGTACTTCCCAATGTTCTCACAGTTTTCTTGAATTATCTCACCACACAAGGAATGCTCTCATGGCAGGGCGAACTTTCTCACAGAATGGCGAACTTCCTCACGGCATCGTAAATACTCCCGCGAATGCTCCCGTGAGTGCTCAGACAGATGCTCCCATGAGTGTTCCCAGAACACTCATCAATGCTCACAGAGTTGAGGCATTCGTCATACCCACACAAGGTGAGGCAACCCTCTCTTTGCCCCCTTTCGATTGATCCGCCGTCATCAAAGGATAGGAAGTCACCGGTCCCTCAAATCATATCTAACGTGGGTATCCTCAATGCCGCTGTACGGTCAGTCACGGAATACTGATATGAGCACTGTTCTGTATACTTGTGACGACTAGCCAATATTTGATGGAGGTATATGTTTCTGTCGGTTCATGAAAGACATAATTAGCCTTGAGATCGAAGCTATAGTACGGCTCACCTGAAAAGCTCAATGTCCATACATAAGCAGCAAACATGGACTGACATTGCCCTCCTGGAACAAGATTGCTAGATAGCCAGGCTCAGATACTGAGTGGCTGAAACTTTACCTCTGTAACGGTGCCATTTCAACTATCTGATATATGAGTACACACAGGGCATAGTTACATGCTGAGAGTTATTGTTAGAAGCCAGTTGCACAGTGATATGCAAGTATCAGCAGTGTGGTTAGCTACCAGCTGTTAGAGTAATTACATTTTGAGCGTTAGGAAGGGGATCTATTCATGGTAGCAATGACTGACGAGTCTATGCCTCATCAGTGACTAGAAAGCCGGCCAGAGTGAAGCTCTGATTTGTCCGGTGATCCTCTGTATCCTCTGAGTATTGGAAGTCTGCCGATTTGTTGCAGGGACTATGCCACGGAAGTCTACAATAAACGAAAGCCCTATAGCAATGATTAAGTCTCCATCTAAATGGCAGCTCATTCATGCAGGCCCCAGTTGTCTGACAACCAAGGCTGCAGGTATTACAATGGCTTTGACTAAGGGTTTTTGCCTGGAGCATCGGAAATACCTGCTGGCGCTTAGAGAAAAGTGGGGTAGTAGTGGTATTGTTTCCCGGACCGAGAAAAGGCTTCACCGGAGCTTAGGAAGGAGTTTGGAGCAGAGAATAGAAGTCTTCGGAGTATCAGTACTCAGGCTCATTCCCGCTCTTCAGTCCTGTTTTCTTCAGTCTTCATCAGAAAGAAAACCAAGTTCTTATCGGTAGCAGAGCCGTTAAAGATTATTGAGTTCTAGTGATAGTATCTTTCAATAATTTGCAACCTGATTGTCTATCTTGCACAGCCATCTCTATTCAATACTATTCTATTTCTCTTAGAAGAGACTACCATTACATCATATAAGTGGACGATATCCTTGTCTTTTACTAGTCTATTGAATGCAAAAATCACGTCAGACTCCAACTCCATGCTGAATTCGAAATTACAGAAACTGGCACAACTGGACACTCAGAATCCACTTGATCCATACTAAAACTGGCATAATACTTTCACAGGAAGCCTATCTCAAGTGTGTATTTATCAAATAAAGATTCGATGAATCTATATATCTAGCAACACCCATTGATAATAATATTCACCTGCAAAAGAGAACAGAAGAGGAGAAAATTGATGATCCAACAATTAATCAGTCGAGTATCGGTTCTTTGATATATATAGTAATCGGCAAAAGACTGGACCTCATCTACACCGTTACCATGCTTTCACAATTTTCTTCTTATACTACTAAAGCCCAACTAGCTCCAGTCCATCATGTTCTTTGTTACTTTAAGGATACCCTGGATTGGCCACTCTTTTACACCAAAATGCCACCAACTACACTCATCGGCTTCAGTGACGCAAGTTATGCTTCGGACATCGATGATCGCCGCTCATTTACCGGCCACTGCTTTATGCTAGGGGAAGCCCTCATTTCCTATCGCTCTTATAAGCAGCTCTCCATTGCCATATCTACTACTGACGTAGAATACATAGCTCTTTCGGACACCAGTTGACAACTGATCTGGTTAAGGAATGCGATACAAGAGTCTCAAGGAGATGAGTAGCGAGTATTCCGCAGGGTATGAAGGGGGTAGTAGAGCTCGGAGTGGGAGCCTGCAATAGGGGTCCTGAGGGACTCTAGCGCTGGTAAGGGTCAATGGGACAAGGGAAGCAGTGGTGCAGTGGTTTTATTGAGTAAGAAGAGGAAATAATATTATATAGTAATAGACAGCATAGGTACAGAAGACGTTACGTAAAGAAAGAAAGGAAAGAGAAAGGAACAAGAAACGAAGGCGAACTCTCCTAATATACCCAAGGAAATCCCAGCGATGACAAATCCAAAGTGACTCATACATTAACGACCGACAAAACTATATAGAAGTCAATAGAACCTTTCTGACTAATCCAACTCCTCGTAGCCCAGTGTATTAACTAATCGATCCGTGAAGAGGAGTTAAAATGGGAGCCAGAACTTTCTTTTATTCTTCATGGTGATAATAATAGTTCTCTTTCCTTGGTCCGGAATCCTGTCTTTCATAAAAGATCTAAACATATTGATGTTCATATTCATTATATTCGGGAATAACACAAGGATAAACTGTTTGAGTTGGAGTACATTTCTACAAATGAAAACATAGCGGATTTATTTACAAAGGGATTGGATAAAAGCAAACATGTTTTATTTTCTTCTACTATTCACTGTGGCTCACGGAGGGAAGTCTTGAAATAGTACGCTCAGCACATTTCATAGTATTGGAGGATTCTCATTTGTCATCATGAGTCATGGGTTTTGACTCATTCTTTCTCTGGTATTTATTAGTCATGTCTTTCTATTATTTATACGGTTATGATTCACTATGTTTTGTGTTACCTTTCTTTAGTATAAATATGGGGTATTCCCCCCTCTAGTTAGTTGGAACAACATGCTCAATTACTACCCTTCTCTACATACATTTTCTCTATCCTCGAGCGCTACTCTCAGGACTTTTCTTCAAATAGGTGCCGTGGAAATGCTGTGATGGGAACTTAGGAAGTTTACACCCAGCGCAACTCTCGATCCTGTTGTGTTTGTAGCAACAGGCATTACATTGAGTTCCATCTAGGCGAATACTGATCATGATAGAGCTCCAGATTTCTCCCCGTTTATGAAGTTCGTGGTAATATCTGGCAGTCGATATGTTGTTTCAGCCCATTTTTGAGTGATATCTTGGGCTTGTGGATGTTCGGAGCCCAAGTTGAAGCGTAATGGTTATGGAAGACATGGGTTAATTCTGTTTGAATGTGACTGAGGTCATGAGAGAAGAGATACATCGCACTGAAATGAGGGTGATTGGGCCAAGAGTCGAATTCAACGAAGTGAAAGAGGAAGAAAGACCAACAAGGCGTGAAGCGTGGCCGGCTGGCTATATATCTTCTGGATGTAAAAGCCAAAGCAGACTCCATTAGTGTTTAATATTGCACTCTATATTATCAACACGGCGAAGGTAACTTCTGGCCCAGATTTCTCTAGATATAGCCCAGTATTAGCAAGACTATATATATAATTCATACGAACAACGACTATACGGCCAAAGTCCCCATTCTTTGCACGTTTATCAACAGCCTTGCTTGTGTATCTAAAAGGTCTAGCTGATGTATTTTCTATCTAGACGACCTTGCGAGTGTGATAGTAGTTACCAGCCATCGAGGAATGAATGACTTGCTTCGTTGACGTACAACTACTATTCAATAAGTTTGTGGGAAAGCTTAATAGATAAAGGCTCCGTTTACTTCCCTGGAGGAGCGTAGACCTTTCTCCCAGGGTGAGTTCTTACTCATAATTTCTATTGGTGACAAAAGTAACCGTGATCATCCAAGATTCTATTTAACGATCTCATCCATCCAAGGAACACTACATTCGAGTTTGTGTAATAGTAAGGATACAACGCGCTGCTTGGTGATGCCAAGACCTCCGAAACCGAGTGATATTCTGTGGTACATGCTCTCAAGGGGTGTAGACTCAACAGTAACATAGAAGAAGGGTACAGTTCAATTTCCCGTTCGGAAGAAGCTCGAGAATGCACACTCCTTGTACTCTAGTTTAAGCAACCTGCCCACAGGAGGTGCAGTGACTATTGATATATTCAAATTCCGCAACATGCTGTTTTCGCTGATCAATTTGCAATGTGATACTCGGCAAAGCCATTGTAATATAAGCATATCTGTGATTTTGAAAAACAGAAACGGTATCAGGAGCCTATTACGAGTTATGTAAGTAATGCTATGTATTAGAATCATAGGCTTACGTTGTTTTGAGTGCAAGGGCTGTTCAAATCTTAACTTAGTGCGCAGGCATACTCGGCGCGCTCAAAATAGATTTTACTAGGAGGGGATACTGGACAAGCTATACTATACGTGGTTAGAGAGCACAAGAAGCATATATGTAGTTGTCTTTAAGGGAGCTCTGTGTTTCTCGAGGAGGGAGTAATTCATGCGCCCTTGCCTGCACCGGTTGTGATGGCTAGAAAGATCGCGGGAACAAACCCGTAAAAACATCTTTACACCTAATTAAGTACCCTTAAGCTTTCTCGCTCAGTGCATCTTCTCGATCCCCTAATTATATTTGTAGCCCTACTAATGATTACTAGTAAAAATCGCTTTTTCAGTTGCTCCGGTCCTAATAAGAGCGAGTGGCAGAGCTAGGTTTCTTCCGTGTCGCAGGTCATGCGAGAGGGTTTCAATTCCCTTGAATTAGCGGGATTTCCTTTTGTTTTACCTCTTCATATCGTCTTTGTAGCTAGCATGGGTTACTGTCACGCTTGTGTCTTGGCATAGGTGTTAACTTAACATGTACTTAACCGCGTCCTGCGGCCCCACCTTGAATAAACCATCATCTTACATGCATACTTCACAGTGGTAGCAACACCTCGCAATAAAAACTTTTTTCGAAGCGTAGCTTCACCAGAATAATCTGAAACACTCCCCTTTGGTGATTGATCTACATATCACTTTCATCAGTTAAGCTTCTCTTTTTACGTGAAACACGTACATGACTCGTCCTGGGAAAAGACAGCGAGCTGCATATCATCAAAAGCTTGCTACCCAAGACGCGTCCAAAACATCTCCTGAACACGAAGCCATCAAAGCAGCGGCAGCAGCGGCATCAGCGGCAGCAGCAGCAGCAGCAGCAGCGACAGCAGCAATTGCAGCAGCATCCGCAGCAATTAAACACAATTCATCGAAGGAGACTAAAAGGTCACTTGCAGACCGTATCACCCATCCCAGCAAGAAGTCCCTCGAATCTCGCATCACGTTTCCGATAAAAAATGAGCGGAAAAGGAAAGGCCCGGCCTAGGGCAGATTCTGGGACAAATGAAAATCCTTCCAGAATCCCTATCTTCGGTAGTCCAGTAGAGGTATACCCAACCGAGAGAAAGGGCAATCCGGAGAAGGATGGCGAGGAAACACGAGAGGATCGATCCACAGCAATCACTGCAGACATTGGCAACCTCACCCTGTCGGAGACGGACAGGAGGTCTAACGAAAATCCACTGAGAAATGTAGAAGCTCAGATTGGTAACATGAACGAACAGGAATTGGATATCCTCCTGAACAGTCTTATGAAGAGACTCGGGAGAAGGAACGAGTCACCAGCCATCCCACCCACAGAGAGACTCCCGCCATCCTTTTTGAATGCTGGAGGTATCGATCGACAATACTCCAGCGGGTTCCCGCTTCAATCTCCTACAGTTCGTAACGAGTCCTATACTTCCTATAGTAGACCAGAAAGGGCTCTCGCCCCGGCCTCTATAGACTCCAGACGATTCTGGAAAACTAGCGAAGTTGGGTACTTTTGGCCAGATATGCCAAAATCCAGCGGGACAGGTAGATATATCGACTTTGGGGAGAAAGGACGGGCGTTTCGGGATGTCAATGCATTTGTTTCCAGGTTTGTGGATCAGATACCACACTTGGGTAAGGAATGTGTTAGGAACAACGTACACAATTGTCTACGGGGATCTGCTTTTGCTTGGTACAATGACATTTTACCGGAACAGACAAAGGTGGACCTTAGGAGTGACATCTCAGAAAAATGCCAGCGTTGGTAGGACATCCTATTAGAGAACTTCAAGCTTTCCGGGGCAGAGGCTATGAAGAAGATCATCTCACCAAGCACCACCTACACCACCCACAACTTGCGTAAAGGGGAATCCATCTCTTCCTGGTTTATGGATATGATGTCCCTCGCAACGGATGCGGGCCTCGGTGCCGACCAACAGAAAATCAACTTCGCATGGCATAAGCTTGACAATGAGATCAGAAGAGCCCTCAGAGCCCCTCAGACAATGGATACAGTCCAGGGATTTCTCCAGGAACTACGCCGCTGTGAGGAAGGTCTGCGCGAGAGTTTTGCAGAACAGGAACGCAGAGTTATGCAGGTGGCACAGTTTGCAGTAAGGCAAGGTTATCCAGCTAGACCCTTACCGACGACCATTCAGACCCAGTCACAGAGGGATCGTATGCAAGTTTGGTGGCAAAAGCCATTTGGGGTAGAAAACCCTCAGCGTGAGACACCTACTGGTGACAACCAGGGCCGTTTCCCAGGGGCCAACTACACCCCAGGGGTCCCAAAAAGACCTTGTAGATGGTGTAAAGGGCAGCACTACGATTCAATGTGCACTCAGCGGGACCAGCATACTGCACGGCCGCGAGGTCATCCTGGAAATGATGCACAAGCTTTCTTTACCATGGATAAAATGGGAGATAGCGAATACGACCAAGATCATCAGGACGCTATGGATGGTTTCTTCTCGGTCACACAAGGTTCACTTGACGATTATGAAAACTTCTGTGAAGAAATGGCAAGGAAGGATGACTGGGTCGACTGTGGACACCTCCAGGAAGATACCAAAAGCACCGATTCCACTACCATAGCATTGAGAGAAGCACGACAAGATAAGGCCAAAGAGTTAGTATTCACCATTCATCACGGAAATACGTACGACCAGGAGCCATTCTATTGTGGAACTTGCGGACACACCGAGAAAACCAGGAACCGTCTTTTCACGCATCTACGACAAAAAGGTCACTTGCGAGCGAGCTTCATCGGACAAAAGGCCCTATGTGACACAAGAACGGCACACCTGGTAATACCAAGGATTGTCCAGGCAAACGCGCCCAAAATCCCAGGGAATGGCTATGCGTTCAGAGATTATAACTTCCTCGAAATCGCAGTTCGCATAGCACCGGGCACGGAAGACCTTTGGGTCTGCCTGGATATGGGCTGCGGAGTCAGCCTTATTGACTCAAGCTGGATAAGAGAGATATTACCTGAAGCCGCAATTTTGAACCGTCCTAGTGCAGTCAATGTAAGGGGTCTCGGAGAAGCGGTTCATTCCTCGAGCCAATACATGGTCCTACAATTGTCACTTCCCGGAAAGGATGATAAGGAAGAAGAGGTGGTGGCCCAGATTAGCAGAGAATTCCACCTAGTCCCAAACCTTGGGTGCAAGATTCTGATAGGCACAGACGTAATTGTGCCTGAGAAGTTTTTAATCGATGCAGCAAACAAAGTGGTTATCATTGGGGAATGCGAATCTGTTCGAGCACCTTTAAGAGTCACACCGCGGGGTCGTCCAGTGGTTCACAGGGTAGTAAAAACCAGCAAGACCACGGTGGTCAAATCCTTCTCTCAAAAATTCATTCCCGTTAAATTCCAGGAAGTTGAAGAAGGGCGCGACTATGAGTTCACCCCAAAATACTCAAAGGCTACTGCTTGGCTGGCAGCCTCGGGGGGGTTTGTTCGCCACGTAGTAGATGCCCATCTTACTGCAGTGGTTTACCATAATCGCACAAACCATCCAGTGAAGATCGAGAAAAATATCAAGATAGGAGTATTGGATGATTTCCAGCCGACTAGTTTTCACGCGCGTTTGGATCCGGAAGTCAACGAAGGATTTATCAACTGCGCCGAAGATGGCGAATGGGATGAAGAAACCGGCGACTTCGCGGGCAAAGGGGCTGTACTTCCAACAACTCCAGCTACACCTATATCGGGGAACACATTCTTGAAGCAGGTTCTTCATACAAAAACGACTGAACGCAAGTCTAAGTATGGGTTGGAATCAATCAACTTCAACGAAAATGACAGAATCAGTCCTTCCGAGCTGGCGGTGCTAAAAAACCTCGCGAACAAGTACCAAGGAGTTTTCCAAGATAGAGGGTCTGTAGTGGATGAGCCGAAGGAGGACTGGATGGTAATAAAGCTCAAGCCAGATGCAAAGCTGGACTCTAGAGGTCCTTACAGGGTCTCTGATAAGGACAAGGAGGTGATCGACCAAACCTTTGATAGGATGCACGGTGAAGGAAAAATGGATTGGGGAATTGGAGGACCAGTCGGATGGCCGGTGTTTGTCGTTTGGAGTAAAGGATCCGGAAGGGTAGTGGTAGATATCAGGGGCCTTAACCAAAGTTCTTGGAGTGATTCATACCCTTTACCGAGGCAAGAAGACATTATTGCCTGCGCCCGCGGAATGGACTGGATCACGACCCTTGACTTGTCCCAGGCTTTTTACAAAGACGTTTGGCAAAGGAATCACGATGGTTAACCACAGTGGTCACGCATAGGGGACAGGAGGTTTTTACTGTTACGCCCATGGGATATAAAAACTCACCAGCGCATATGCAACGGTATATGGAACGTCTTCTGAGGTCACATAAGGAATACGCTAGATGCTTTATCGATGACATCACAATTTTTAGTGAGACCTTCGAACTCCATGTGGAGCATGTCGATAGAATCTTAAGAGTACTCGACAAAGCACTTATCTACCTCACTGCCTCGAAATGTTTTATCGGGTTCCATGGAGCAAGAGTTCTGGGGAGATTTGTTGATAGATTCGGGCTCTCCACTATCGAAGAAAAAACCCTAGCTATCAGGCAGATGAAATTTCCTGAGAGCCTTAGTGCTTTGGAAACGTTCATTGGCATGGTCGGATATTACCAGCCGCACATTCCCTATTATGCAGCTCTGGTTAGTCCGCTTGAAGACCTTAAGACCTCACTGTTGAAACCAGCACCCAAAGGGGGCAAAGAAAGGAAACGCTACGTCAATTCAACGAAACAGATAATACCTACGAAATCCCAAGCAGAATCCTTTCGACTCCTGCAGGAAGCTCTGTCAGGGAAAGCCACCCTGGCACATTTCGACAGAAGTGTCCCGTTGTTCGTTAACATCGATGCCTCTAAGGAATGGGGTTATGGGGTATCGGTGAGCCAACTACCTATCTACAGTATGGGGAAATTATCCATCGAGGACATAATGAGCTGCAACCATGATAGAGTGCAAGAAAGACCTATTTGCTACATTTCCAAAAAAATCAATAGCCATGAGAAGAATTACTGGCCCACTGAGCTGGAAGTAGCTTGCCTTGTTTGGGCCGTAAGGAAGATTAGGCATTTAGTGGAGGAAGCAGTGGTTACGATTATCTTTACGGATCACAATGCCACGGTCGATATCGTTAAACAAACCAACCTCACCCATGTCACTGCCCAGAAACAGAACCTACGACTTGTTAGAGCATCTTTATTTTTGTCTCAATTTGACAAAATTAATACACGACACGTTCCTGGTAGGCAGAACATCGCGGCAGACGCACTCTCAAGACTCCAATCTGCGTGCAGGGAAGACGCCCTCGGTGAAGACGTGTATGAAGCTCTACAAGCAGAGGCCGTGATGGTCAGAATCTCAGATGACTTAATCGACAAATTTCAGGAAGGATATCAGTCCGACCCCTTTTTTAGAGTCAAGTTCAACAACCTGAAGAGAAAATTCTTTGCAGCAGGAGATCAAGCAAGGTCGCACGAGTATCAGAATTTGGTACTAGAGGACGCCGAGGATAGTACCTTCATTACGGGAACCGAAGAAAGACCCAGGAATGCTACAGATAAAAGGTTTCTGCTCTATTTGAAGGATAACGGAGGTGTGCTTCGCCTATGCATTCCCAGGAACCTCCACGGGAGCTATCTTCAAATGGCCCATGACAGACATAATCATGCGGGCGTGGAGCGCACATACAACAGGCTCCGGCAGAACTATTTTATCAGAAATATGTCAAAAATTATTAAGGAATACGTCGAGCACTGCCCCTCCTGCATAACGAATAATACAAACAGGCATAAACCATATGGGACATTACATCCAGTATCATCGCCATCACACCCGTGGGAATTGGTAACAATGGATTTTGTAGTCGCCTTGCCGCCTTCATCCCCGACATTGCACATTTGGAAGGACTGTCTTCCGCCCTTGCCTCTATACGATGCAATTCTGACTATCACAGACAAGTTTACCAAATCTATCAGATTGCTGGCAGGGAAAACATCTTGGGGTGCCAAAGACTGGGCCGAAGCGTATTTTGATTACATATACCCGGTCATGGGAGTACCAGGGGGTATCATCAGCGATAGGGGCTCAATATTCCTTTCAGCCTTTTGGACCACACTCTTTGGTTTGATGAATACGAATTGCATCGCGACCACGGCATACAATCCTCAGGCTGATGGACAGAGCGAAAGAACGAACCAGACAATGGAAATAGCGTTGCGCCACCTGGTCAATAGAAGACAGGACAATTGGGTGGATTTTCTGGGTCAAGTTCAAATCGAGCATAATAATGCGATAAATGCATCTACAGGGAAATCCCCGAACGAGCTCTTGCTTTTGGCAATCCCGAACACTATAATCGACCTGACAGCCCCAAAAAGGCTTGAGGTCTCAAGAGCAATTGGAGGTGAGAAACTGGGAGTCTCAATGAACGCAAACCTGAGAATGATGCGTGACGAAGCCCTTGATGCACTATCCTTTGCAGAGTTTGCAATGGCAGTACAATTCGACCGCCAGGATCAACAGGTTGATTTCAGAGTAGGGGACATGGTGTATATCAACTTTGCAAGGAAAATGGAAAAAGGATACACAGTTGCAGGTGTCCTTTCTCCAAAACTGGGACCCCAAAGAGCGGGACCTTTCCCAATTCTTGAAATGATAGGGAAAAATGCATGCAGATTGGGCGACATTCCCACAAGCTGGAAAATCTGGCCAGTTATCTCAGTGGTTAACCTGGAGAAGGCCCCATTAGGGACCGATCCTTACCAGAGACGCAGCGAACTTCCACCGGATATCGTGGGGATTGAAAAGCCTGTGGAAATCATTCTAGACACACGGATTAGCAAAGGACGGAGGCAATATTTGATTAAATGGAAAGATGCACCAGTTGAGCAAGCTACGTGGATGAATGAGGATAAACTTGAATATGTGGAGGACTTAGTTATGGAGTTCAACAGAACCCATTTGAATGCTGGGAAAAAGAGAAAGACATAGTTCACTATAGGGAATTCTGTGAAGTGCATGAATATTACGGACGATCAGGGACAGTAGTGATAAATGATGACGGTGGTCTTTGTCTGAGAGGGTTTCTCTTTTTTCCTTTTTTACCTGTTTATTGCTTTTCTCATTTTCCTTTTTTCTTCTTCTCTTTTTTTTGTTGTTGTTTTTGCTGTTTGTGGTTTTCATTTGATATGAAAGGACTAAGAAGACGAGAGAACGTCTGGAGAGAAAACGCCTGGGAGGAATTTGATAGAAAACGCAGTAGGCGATAGGTTTTTTTTCTGTTTTTTTTGAGGGGGGACTGTCACGCTTGTGTCTTGGCATAGGTGTTAACTTAACATGTACTTAACCGCGTCCTGCGGCCCCACCTTGAATAAACCATCATCTTACATGCATACTTCACAGTTACGTAGACGGACGTAGAGGAAGGGAATATAACCCCTAACCCACGAAAGGATGACAAATATACATTGGCTTGAATGCGCATTACACCTTGCAAGGTAGTTAAAGAGCCTCATCTCACCTTGAGCCTTGAGCCTCATCTCACCTTGAGCCTTGAGCCTCATCCCACCTTGCAAGGAGCCTCAACTCGCTCGTCCCTAGTCGTTCGTCACACCCCGCCGCCTCGCGGCCCCCTCAACCTGCCTTGATCATTCACATCCGATAACCGTTCGCCCTATCCAGACGAGAAACCACGGCAGAGTACGATGCCCAGATACTCATCCTCCTGATGCCTACCGGTTGCAACACTCGTGTTGGTGGATGGATCGGATCCGGAGTGTCGGGCTGGTGAACAGTTCTTGACGCGACGCGTACATGTCATCATTAAAAGGTTCCGACTTTTCATCCTCAAGACTAGCAATCTCTCCTCTTAGTCGAGCCGGAGGTTCGGGGTAGCTGCACCATTTTGTGGATTCCCCCGCATGTCGCGGTTGACGATGGCGATGGTCACTACCCCTCTCCCCCTCCCACTTCCTATGTGTATCACGAATAATCTCATAGGTGACGAGTACGAGTGTTGGGCCTCGGATCCCTTTATAACGATTAGTATCCGGCAAGGCCGCTGCTTACTTTAGCTCCTCCTTGATCTTGAGTGCTATCCCCGTTCGGTAGACCTCTCCCCATCGCAGCTCTCGATTGACCTCCTCCATCTCAACTCTCGATCGACAACCCGATACCGTTTACTCGAGAGTAAATACTCATTTTCACAAATTGATAAAGAGCTTAGCGAAACATCGATTCTCGATCGCTTGGCAGCCTGGAGACACCGAATCTGTGCGGACATCGTCTCAAACGATATGCCCACGGAAGTACTAGACAGGCCTGGCGGCACATGTCAAGAAACGCTACCATAGATATGGAGACTATTGGGAATGGGAGTGTACTGTTCCGGAACGATGAGAGTTAGGACACGTCTGCTGGTACGGTGTTACAATCTCGCCAACCTAGCGGATTGCATTTCTGCTGTGAGAGCCACTCTCAGGAATAGGAGGTGAATGGATGATACGGCAGAATCGATGAGGTAGGCGTATGATTCTGGTGGAGTAGTGAATATACTACCACATATTCTGGGATCTCTTAGGGGGATGGCGTACAACCGAAGCCTCATGGCCAAATAGAACCGCGTTCTCATGGTTTATGATATCCAAGGGGTGTGTGGTTCAGTATCACCATTGGTGTAGTTGTGCGCGTAGTTTAGAGGAACTTGTTACTTCTCTCCGGAATAGTCTGTTTGATTTAACGGACTAGCTTAGGCTCTGCACTGGATTGGATAGGGCTGAAGCATTCATCGTGGTCTTGCCAAAGAAGGATAATCACCTAGGTACGCACTATAGTATAGTCTTAAAACATAAAACGAATTGGATTCAATCATAATCTGTGCAAACTTCCTGGTCCAGTCTCTGTGGTATCTCCTATGGGTGTAAGAATAAAATACTCCGTCTGAATTCCAAGAAACAATAAGGATACGTCGAATAGCCTTTAGAAATCTTAAGGAATAGGACCAGTCTCTGGCTATGAGCTTTTTGTTTCTAGCTTCCACTTACTGTGAATGTATGAGATTTGTCCACTTCTGGTCTGCTTTATTCTCTGACCATGGTCTCTCCGTATGGTTAATTCTCCGATGGCGCTGTACCTGCAGTGAGGTTTGATTGAAATATGGTACAAACTTGTAGGTGTTGTTTCCTTGTTTTCGCACTTGTACCTAATGGCATGGTGAAGACTTAGTGAAAGTCGCCATTGCTCAATGAAACCTCATGCTGACACATAAAACCTAGACCTTTTAGATCCTTGAAGAATTGATAAGAGGGATTTTTGATAGCTGGTCCCCTCGGTATTTGGCTTCTCGGCGAGAGGCCAATCTAGCCATCCCTGTGGTCAATGGATTGAGGGTGTTAAGTTCGCGGCTTTTCCGCCCAAGAAGATATCACCCCGCTTCTTAGATAAAACGCAAGATTCAAAAGGGATAGCCGACACAGTGAGCTGGGATGAGTACGAAAGATGTTGGTATCCATCAGTTAATCATAAAATATCACTCGATAAAATTAACCAACAGGTCTGATTTTAGCGCTTCCTGGTCTAAGGCGCAGTCAGCGATAAAGCCTTCTTCCCGGACGGAAATTGAAGAGGATTCTCCGCCACTGATCCTCTATTCTTGTAGGTCCCTAGATGAAACTTGAGGTGGTATGACAGAGCTATCACTTCCCAATTACCAACACATACCACACAGGGGACAAGGACTGCAGCCCCGGTAAGACTCTCGTGTGTACAAATAACATTTTGCTAGAGCTGATCCTGGCAGATGCTGTTGGGAGTAAAATTAGGGAGAGACTTTGGGGGGGTTGTTGTTTACCGGATGCTGGTCAAATAGTAGACGAAGTTAGAAAGGCGTTTCTACCAGACATATCCTAGGTTATGACTGCTCAAAAGGACCTATACGTATCTCCTGGATATGTATTTCGGGGCCGATTCCCAAGCCCTACTCATTTCGGAACACATTGCCTTGTGAGCACTTGCTCCGCCAAATGAGAAACCTCAAAAGTTTCCAAATTCTGGCGAGGAATCTCGGGAAGTACCTTAATCAGGTTGTGTGTTTATCAAACATACAGCACAGTGGGCGTGATCGGTTATGGCATTAATCAGCTAAAATACTGGTTGTGGATTAATTCTTCAGTCTCTCTGACGGGCCGAGTCAGCTATTCCTCACCGTTCAACCGCAAGTACCTCTCAGCGAACGAAGATACTTGAGGTTAGAGGTTCGTCATATTCTCTATTCCTCAGTTCCGGATGCTCAACGGTTTTGGTGACATGCCCTAACCATGAGAAATAGCCTCCAAGAACCAGCCAGTAGAAAGATATTTCAGCCGACGCGAAATGTTTTGACAATGGGTTATGCGACCCTTTATATTGTTGTGAAAAAAAGTCGGAAAAGTCAAAATTCAAAATCTGAGCGCTCAGGCTTGGCATTGTAGCCCTAACCCTGCCCTCGAGTGCTCGAGTGATATCTGGTGTAGAAATACTGAAAACGGCAAGGTGAGATGCGATAGATTGCTTGGAAGAACACGGTGCTTACTAGCTACAGATAGTATCATACTGAGGTAGTCTATACCTCTCGTCTAGGGTAGGATTGGTATTGCTAACTTGTACAGGACTTACTATGCGGACTCGTCGGCGCGCATTGACACCGCTTCTCTTGCTGTTGGTTAGGATAACTCTTAAGTGAAATGATAGGGACGAAGAATGACCGAATTGGGACAACCGTACACTGCTATTTAAGTACACACTGCACACTGTCTTTCACTTCTTTGTCCGAGCTTGATGATACTCTTGACTGCTATTCCTTCTTCTAGGATAATCTAACTACCTTGTACGACTGCCCGAGATCCTTCCACCCACCTGCTGTCTCATCCATAATGTGCGAGAATTTACCCCAATAATTAGCAGCGAGAAGGCTCGGGTCCCAGATACGCCGTTCTGTGCCACTGGACATATCTTGCGCACTTTAGCGGTGAGTTTAGGCTTTTTTTTAGTGGGGGGGGGAAGGAATCAGCTTACAGCGCGCTATTGCTAGCTACTTCATCCCGAACATATCAATAGATAAGCTGCCTTTAGGGACCAGGATATAAGATTCCCGGTACTTATATTCGGAAGTTATAAAGACTCAGAGAAAGCCATATATCGATCCTCCAGATCACGCGTTTGATGTTGTCACCTCCTAGTGACGAGCTCCCACTATCCCGGAACGGTCGTAGATAGAGTACGATAAGGCACCCCGTCCAGGGACGCAGTTCCGTACCGGAGCGTTCCGGAGTAGGGTACCTAGCCAAGAACCTGTCCTGATCTCATGGCAATGAAGAAGCCCGCTACGGAGTCTGTGTTACTTTCCGAACAGAGCACAACAGGGTGAATACCAGGCACTTCACTATACAACATTTGGACAGATACACCTAGGAGAGGTGACAACCGCGGCTTCGACGTAGATGAATCTTTTCCAGGCTCTCCGGCGCTATGAGGTACGGGTACCAGACATCAGGATACATATAAGAAATCCCGGTGATTGAGTTTATAGCAAGAGCATTGTCTGGTATAGATACCAATTCTGGATGAGGAGCTTCATGGCGCCGTGTGCACGACCGTTGCTGGATAGGGTCGCTCGCCAACGGGGGGTATATCGATATAACTCATAATAACTCCCCGCCACATCTCACAACTACGATGCTAAGCGCTCAGGAGCTTTGGCCTAGCACTTGGATATGTTCTCAAACACTGCTGCGGAAGCGATATCAGTTGTCGGGATTGTAGTTGGGCATATAGAAACTAATCACAAGCTTACAAGGAAATGGGAAAGTAAAAAGCAAAACAGGAAAAATGTTTCGTGTCGAGTGATAGTTCATGAAGTTGGTGAGTTCCCTTTTTTTTTTTTTTTCTGTTTAATTCGAGTTCCCCTGTTTAAGGGCAATACTATTCAATCGAAAATTGCCTACCGTGATTTGAAGTGGTGTTGAGCTGGTGTTCAATTAGCTTGCTATACATCTTAGAGATACTGGATGTGACTCCAACTATTTTGAAGGTTGTTATGGTGGTGCAATGATCATAATTGTTCATCGACGCTGAATGTTAAAAAAGGAATACCTGAGTATTGAGTACACGATTATCATATTTTCAATGAGAAACGATGGTGTTCGCATCACGGGATATACAAGAGATGGAAACCATTACTTCAGTAAGTTTATTATCAACTGACTTGGTCTACAAATCCAACGCATGGCAAACAACATTCTAACCAGCTACATGTACACATTATTTACGGCTTCTCCCCCTCAGCATCCGCCACCCCCAATCTGCGATAAAACACCCCACACCCCGGCCTCGTCCCCAAGAACTCCTCCACCAGCTCCCCCGCGGCCCTCGACCCCCCCGCCTCCAACACCCCCCTCCACCGCCCCCCAACCACCCCCCACTCCTCCCCACCACTAAACACCCCCCACACATCCGCCGCATAGCAGCTACTCACCAAATACCCATAATACCCCGCATCATACCCCTGCGTCAGATGCCCAAACGTCGCATAGCCCTCCAGCCTCTCCCCGGGCTCCCCACCCTTCACGGGTATCACCTCCCTTCGCAGCTCATTATACACCACCCCCACCAGCCCCTCCTCCTGCGGCGGGTCCTCCCCATGCACCATCATATCAAACGCCGCAATATGCACGCCCCGCAGCGCGGCCAGCGCCGCGCCCTCCCAGCGCCCGTCGACCACCGCGCGGGCATGGCTCTCCTGCGCGCCCAGGCGCACCAGCACGCCGGCGTCCCAGGCGAGCTCCTCGCCGACGCGGCTGGGCACCTCGGCGAAGTCGACGGCGACGCCGGCGGGGCCGTGGTGGCGCGCGAACTGCGTGGTGGAGACGAGGTCGTGGATGGCGTGGCCGAGCTCGTGGAAGAGGACGATGAGCTCCGTGTGGGAGAGCTTGCCGGTGGCGGGGAAGGTTGTGAGCACGGCGGTGGAGGGGTAGTGACGCGGGTGGGAGGGGTGGTGGTGGCCGGGCGTGATGTTGAGGCTGCCGGCTTGGGCGGTCTTGGAGGGGCGGGCGAGCAGGTCGAGGTACAGATAGCCCACGAAAGAAGAAGAAGAGGCGGCGGCGGGGTGAGCGGGCGAGGCAGAGTCCTCATGGCGGGCGGTGTTCTTTGCAGAAGCGGCATTCCACACCGCAAACAGCTTCACATCCGGATGCCACGCCATCTCGCCCCTCGCCGCATCCTCGCCATCCCTCACGCCATCCCACGCCGACTCCTCGCCCTCCCGCCGCACCACCCCCCGCATCACCGCCCACTCCTCCCGCCCCACCGCCACAAACTGCAGCCCAAACACGCCGCCCAGCTCCGCCAGCACCCGCGGCAGCACGCCCTCAATATCAAACGCCATCCCCGCGCCCTCGCTCCGCTCCCGCAGCCGCTCAGCATACCGCTTATCCCACAGATGGTACTCGCCGCCCAGCGCCCGCTCCAGCTCCGCCACCTCGCGCACCCCAACCGGCGCAATGCGCGCCCGCGCCTCCGCAAGAAACCCACGCACAAACTCCGCGTCGGGCGCCATGCGCCCGCCCGCGAGCCGCATCGCAGCCCAGCTGCCGTACCCCAGCAGCCCGGCGGCCTCGCGCCGCGCGCGGATCATCTCCGCAAACACGGGGACATTCTCGGGCACGCTGTTCTCGCCGGCGGCCCAGACGGTGTGGCGCGTGGCTGGGTCCTCGGCGGCGGTGAGCACCGCGGCGATGGTGCGCGGCGTCAGCAGGAGGGTGTCGGAGGGGGGGAGGGGCAGGGAGGCGGGGGAGACGCCGGTGAGGTTGAGCGAGGCCGTGGAGAGCGTGCTGTTGCAGGTGATGAGGTTGTGCTGGAAGGTGGACGACAGGTTTGAGAGGCTCTCCTGCAGCACCTCGAGGCGCAATTGCTCTTCGGCCGTGAGCGCCGCCCCGGTGTGTAGCAGCCCCGTGTATAGCGCGTGCAGGTAGCGCGCGGTCTCGGCGTCCGTGGTGTTGTTGCTGTTGTGCAGGGCCGTGAGCAGCGGCGAGAGCGACGGGTGCGTGGACGTGCGCAGGTTGTGCTCGTTGAGCTCCGCGAGCAGCTCTAGCACCTCTGTCGTGTCGTCCGTCGAGGCCAGAGACAGGATCGTCAACGTGTTTACGAGCGCCGTCAGCGCCGCCTCAGAGGCGGCGAGCGGCAGCAGCACGTTCTCTACAGTGGCGTCGGCGGGCGCCAGCGCGGACAGCTGCTCGAGCACGCCGGAGGAGGAGGCGATGGCCGCATGCACGGCCTCTGCGGACGGCGGGAACACAATTGGGGGCTGCGGCGGGAGGCGGATACTCGGCGTGTCCATGTGCGTGTCCTCATGGTCGTGGGGGTGCGCATCCTCCGCGTGGGTGTGTTCGTGCGGGCTGGCTGGTTTGTGCTCAGCGGCGTGCGGGATGGGGAGGGAGAAGAAGATGTTGCTGATGCTGAAGGTTATGAACAGGATGAGGAGGATACTGATGGACGGCCAGAGGAAGGGGAGGCGCGACATCGTGTGTGTTTGCAGCTCCGGGAGGAGGAGGAGGAGGTGGGTGTTGGTGTTGGTGTTGGTGTGGTTTGGGGTATATACTGGAGGGAGGAATGGCCTTTGGCGGTGAAGGGGGTGTCAATGATTACTCATGCACCATAACGCGGGAGTGTTGAGACCAGGTATGCTACTCCTAGCTGTACTGTAGGAGCTGTTGATTCTGCACAATTCTGCCTCGTATCGGGAGCTTGCTGATCTCCATTTCTATCTCTAGCCATCATACGAAGCTCCCAGTACAGTCAGTCAGTCAGTGTAGCTCACTATCCCTCGACCTGATCCGACCTCCACTGCCAACACCCCCAATTGCAATTACCCACCAGCACAAAAAACCGTCTCCCAACCCCCATAGCCACCACCTATCACCGTCACCACCGTCACACCCTGCAGAAGCCCAGACTAGTACCGAGATTACTCCACACGTCTCAGCGCACCCTTGTCGCTACTATTTCGCCCGTTGATTACTGATTGCGTGGGGGCGGGACGACAAGGGAGCTGTCGACAGGGGATAGGAGGTAGGGGAGGGGGACAGGGGGGTGGTGCCGGCGCTTGTGGCTTTTGGGGAAGGTGTGTGATTGCCTGGCGTGGAAGGTGGTGAGGGTGCAATGATAGTGGGTGTGGTTTTTTGATAACGGTGGTGGTGGTGTTGGTGGTGGGTGAGGTCGGAATTGGCTTTTTGGGTGGAGGGAGGAGGTGGGTAGGCGGAGGAGAGTTAGTGAGGAGAGGGATTTTGGAGTTGTGGTTTAAATGGGATGGGATGGGATGGGATGGCGAGGTGAGAGCGGTCATTATGTTATGAAATACTCAAATGCTATACATATACTGAAATAATAATTAAGTTATTCCAAACAGCCATCCAATCCAGCATTACCATACTATTCCCACCACCCATTCCCACCCATTCCCACTCCCAAGACTTCCAACACACCAATCCCACCTACCTCCACCCTCCCTCCCTCCCTCCACCCCATATAATCCCCCCCCCCCTTCCTCCCCACCACTACCACTTCCACCAACAACCCAAAGATGCCGTGCCCGCCCGCCCTCGACGACACCTTCGGCCCCTCCGTCGCGCCCTGCCGCCGCTCATTCGACTTCACGCTCCTCTTCACCGAGACAGTCCTCACCATCCTGCCCGCGGGCCTGTTTGTGCTCCTGGCGGGACCAAGGATATATGTCCTGCTGAGAAGAAGGAAACCGACGGGTGTGGCGCGCGGGTGGAGGTGGTGGGCGAAGGGGGTATGTACTCTCTCTTTCTCTCTTTCGTTCTTTTTGATTTTTTGTTGCCCAGGGCCCGCGGGGGGGGGGGGGGGGGGCGGTGGATCTTCACAGCTTAATTGAGTCACTTTCGTGTCTGAAAATGCTAACAGCAACTAGGCCACAATAGCCATCTACATAGCCCTCCAAACCGCCTTCCTCACCACCACATCCCTGCACCCACGCACCCGCGCCTCCATCCCCGCCGCCACCCTCACCCTCCTGCTCTCCCTCCTCCTCCCCGCCCTCTCACACCTCACACACACGCGCAGCCCCCGCCCCGACGCCCTACTCACAACCTACCTTCCCCTACAGCTCCTCTTCACATCCGCCCACCTGCGCACACTGACACTCTCCTACACCCCCCTCCCCACCTCCCTCGTCGCCGCAGGCCTGGCCACCTCCCTCCTACTACTAACCCTCGAGTCCCTCCCGCCCCCCACCCCGCTCTCCACGGCCCCGCCCCCCGAGGAAACAGCAGCCCCCATCGCCCTCTCCCTCCTCACCTGGCTGCTCCCGCTCCTGCGCACCGGCTACCGCAGCACACTCACCCTCGCCACCCTGCCGCCGCTCCCCACCGCACTCACCACCGAGGCAATCTCGCCGCGCCTCGCCGCAGCATACAAGCGGGCGCCACACCGGCCGCTGCTGGTCACGGCGGCGGCGGCGCTGTGGCGGCCCCTGCTGGCGCCGGTGCTGCCGAGGGTGGCGCTGGTGGGCTTTACGTTTGCGCAGCCGTTCCTGGTGGCCAGGGTGCTGGGGTATCTGCAGGCGGAGGGGGAGGGGGAGGGGGTGCAGACGGGGTGGGCGCTGATGGGCGCGTATGGCGTTGTGTATGGCGGTATTGCTGTAAGTTGTTCTTTCCCCGAGGCACGAGGGGGTGGAACCCCTTTGATGGGTGTGAGTGGCACGAGTGAGAGCTGAAGATGCGGGGGGGGGCGGTAGGTGAGCACGGCGTGGTATAATTGGATGACGTATCGACTGATGGTTGCGGTGCGCGGCGGGCTGGTGGCGCTGGTGTGGGAGAAGCTGCTGGTCGTGCCGGTGCCGGACGCGGGCGTTGAGAAGGCCGCCTCTGCCGCGGCCCCTGCGTCTGCGGCGGGGGAGAACGATAGCCGCAGCACCAAGGATGAGGCGGGGACAGGCGAGAAAGCCATGTCAGATTCCTCTTCCGCTTCAGCTGCAAGCACCGTGCAAGAGAAGGAGAAACAGAGGCCCGCCCACCCGCACCCCGACGCCACCAGCGCCCTCACGCTCATGTCCACCGACACAGAGCGCATCCTGTCCGGCCTCAAATACGCGCACGAGCCCTGGGCCAACACGCTCGAATGCGTCCTCGCCATCTACCTACTGACACGCCAAGTCGGGCTGTCCGCGCTCGCCATGGTGGCGCTGGCCCTCGTCTGCGTAACCCTCTCCACACTCGTCGCCGCCCGCAGCGCCGCACTGCAGACAACGTGGATGCGCGCGCTGCAGGCGCGGGTCTCCACCACCGCGGCGACGCTGGGCTCGCTGAAGGCCATCAAGCTGCTGAACCTCGAGGGCGCGGTGAGTACCGTGCTGCAGGGGCTGCGCGATAAAGAGGTGGCCGCGGCGGGCGGGTTTAGGAGTAGCGTGGTGGTCAGTGTCGGGCTGAGTTATGCGACGCTGATCTTCAGTCCGGTGGTGGTGTTTGCGGCGTTTACGGGGGTCGCGAAGCGGCGCGGGCAGACGCTGGATGTGGAGCGCCTGTTTACGAGTTTGACTGTCATCGCGCTGCTGGCCGGGCCGCTGGTGCATCTGTTCCAGGCGCTGCCGGCGCTGAGTGCGGCGTGGGCGTGCGCGGGGCGCATCAGCGCCTTCCTGGCCGCCGACGAGGTGGCCGCAGCGGACCGCAGCGGCGCGGGTCTAGGTGACGGTGAGGTGGTGGTCGTGCGCGGGGGAAGCTGGGGGTGGCGCGGCGTGGAGGTTGTCGGCGGCGTTGATGTGGCCGTGCGGCGGGGGCAGACGGTTATGGTTGTTGGGCCGGTGGGGTGCGGGAAGAGCGTGCTTCTGCGGGGGCTGCTGGGCGAGGTGCCGCTGATCAGTGGCAGCGTGGGTGTGCGGGGGCGCGTGGCGTATTGTGACCAGGCGGCCTGGCTGGTCAATGATAGTGTGCGGGCGAACGTCGTAGGGCCCGGCGAGTGGGATGAGGACTGGTATCGCACTGTTGTGCGGGCGTGCGGGATTGACGGGGAGGTGGCGGGCATGGGCAGTGTTGGCAGTGGCGGGGTGGGGCTGAGCGGCGGGCAGAAACAGAGGGTTGTGAGTACAGTATTCCCTTTCTCCAACCAATCATCCCCCTTCCGCAACCAGTCAGTCAATCCCTAGTTGTATCGAGTGAGAGCTGATCAAGAAACACAGGCCCTCGCCCGCGCCGTCTACTCCCGCCGCGAGATCCTCCTCCTCGACGACATCTTCTCGGGCCTCGACCGCGCCACCGTCGAGCTGCTGTTTGAGCGCCTCTGGGGCTCCGACGGCCTGCTGCGGCGTATGGGCACCACTGTCATATTCGCTACTCACGGCGGTAAGCCCCCCCCCTCCCTCCTCCGGCTCTCTGGAGAACGATGTACTGATGTAAAAATGCAGTGGGCTATCTCCGCTACTCCGACGCCGTCATCGCACTCTCCGCCGACGGGCGCATCGCGGAGCAGGGGCCGACCGCTGAGGTTTTGGCCGGCGGCGGGTATGTTGCCGGCCTGATGACGGGCACGGAGTCCAAGGCGGGTGACGAAGCGGAGGACGTAGAGGGGGAGGCGGCCACAGAGCAAAGGCCGGAGGCGCCGAAAGAGGAGGAGGAGGTGGAGGAGGAGAGGACGAGGGATAGGGATGTGTATAAGTATTACTTCAAGAGTATTGGCAGGCTGAACTCGGCGTGCTTTTTGTTCGGGGGCGTGTGTTTTGGGGTGTTGTTGAAGTTTCCCGGTAGGTTTGCTGTTGAGGGGGGGGGGCTGTCTTGCTGGACCTCCGGTTGAGAGGTTCTGGTGCGCTTTGCTAACGGGCGTTGATCAATGCAGACCAGTGGCTGACGTGGTGGTCGAACTCGAATGCGGCGCATCCGAATGAGCGCATTGGATACTACCTGGGTATCTATGCGATGTTTAACGTTCTTGCCTTCATCTCGCTGTGTGCCTGGGCATGGTGAGCACTCTTATCGTCATTCTGTGCTCATGCCAGTGCTAAATAGTGGTTTTACAGGCATCTATTCCACGGGGTCGTAGCATCGTCGGGCAGGAATCTACACCGGGAGTTGTTGAGGACCGTTATGAGGTGTGTTTCTGTATGTGAGGGGAATGAGGATTGGTGGACTAATGCTGTGACAGTGCTCCATTCCCATACATCAGCCGTATCGACACCGGTACCACCACAAACAGGTATTCCCCCGCCCCCCCCCCCCCCCCAATCCGCAACTACACCCCATCTAACCCCCCCCCCCCCCCCGCAGATTCAGCCAAGACATGCTCCTCGTCGACGGCACCCTCCCCCTCTCCCTCCTCAACACCGCCGCCGAGCTCTTCACCTTCATCACGCAACTAGCCCTCATCGCCGCCGCCTCCCCCTTCATCCTCGCCGCCTTCCCCCTGCTCCTGGCCACAACCTACGCCCTGCAGCACCTCTACCTGCGCACCTCCAAGCAGCTCCGCCTCCTCGACATCGCCTCCAAATCCCCCCTCTACAGCATCTTCCTCACCGCCACCACCGGCCTCCCCACCCTGCGCGCCCACGGCGCCACCACACACCTCACAGCGCAAACCAACCGCGCACTAAACACATCACAGAAACCGCTCTACCTCCTCTACTGCGTGCAGGTGTGGCTCAACGTCGTTCTAGACCTCATGGTCGCCGGCCTCGCACTGACCATCATCGCCATTGCGGTGGGCCGCCGCGGCATGCTCAGCACCAGCGCGGTGGGACTGGCGCTCGTCAACATCACCACCCTCGGCGAGACACTCAAGAATCTCGTCGTCTCCTACACCGCGCTCGAGACCTCCCTCGGCGCCATCGCCCGCCTCGAGACCTTCTCGCGCACCACACCGCGTGAAGACGACGCCTCTGCCACCGCAGCAGACCCGCCGGCAGGCTGGCCGGGCGCCGGCGCGCCGGGGATCGAGTTCGACGCTGTCTGCGCGGCGTACACCGAGGGCGGCCCGCAGGTGCTCACCGACGTCACGCTGTCGTTCCCGGCCGGCAGCCGCACCGCCATCCTCGGGCGCAGCGGCAGCGGCAAGACCTCGCTGCTCGCGGCGCTGACGCGGCTGCTCGACCCCTCGTCGGGCACCATCGCGCTGGGCGGCATCGACACGCGCAGCCTGCGGCGGCGCGATGTTCGCGCCGCGCTCAATGTCGTGCCGCAGGACGTGTATGCCTTCCCCGGCACCGTCCGCGCGAATCTGGACCTGGCCGGCGGCTGCCCGGACGGTGAGCTGCTGCGGATCCTGCGGAGGCTGGAGCTGGTGGGGGCCGGGCGGCCGCTGGCGGGGCTGGACGACGAGCTGGAGTGGGGGCGGTTGAGCGTGGGGCAGCGGCAGCTGTTTGGGCTGGGCAGGGCGGTCGTGAAGGCGCGTGAGCGCGGGGGAAGGGGTGGGGTGCTGGTGCTGGATGAGGCGATGAGTAGTGTTGATGTTGAGACGGAAAGGGTGATGGGGGGTGTGGTGGAGGGGGAGTTTGGCGGGTGGACGGTGGTGGCGGTGATGCATCGGGTGGTGGGGGTGGAGGGGTATGGGAGGGTTGTGGTGATGGAGGGGGGGAGGGTGCTGGATGGGGGGAGTGTGGAGGAGGTGGGGGGACGGGGGAGGCTGGGGAGGGTGGGGGGGAGTTAGTGTAATGAGGTTTTGTTTGAGGTAGTTTATGTTAGGTAGTTGTGTGGTTTATGTTATGTAGTTGTGTAGTTTAATGATATTTACGTTTTTCTTGTTCAGGGATGTGACGTTGTTGGGAGAGGGCCAATGATTGAAACAACAGGAAATACCGCGTTCCTGCCAAGCCAGCCCTTGCGTACTACACAAATACTCCAAATCTCTAGGTGCAGCCTTCGCAGTTCTTCACAACGGTGACAAATGAGACAATACACAGCTTACTGCCAGTAAAAGCGAGAAAGTAGCAGAAGAGGCCGTAGCTAATCTAAACAAAGAAAACAGGGCAGCAAGACAGGACAACAAACCCTCTTTACGTAAAGGCCGACCAGCCAACCACACACGGCGGAGGTCGGCGCAGAGGGATTCTTCTTTCAACTGGCAGTTATTTCAGGACGCAGTAATAAATCTGTGTTTGTGGTTATATTCGGAGTCTTGTTCTCGGGTTGTTACTAGACATTCGCGAGCGGTTCTGTGATGAGAAAGTAAAGTCAGCCAGATTATACACTCCCAGCTTTGTTTTTAAAGCGTTTCCACCAACTGCCCCCACCCCCTCCCCTCAGAGCTTCTGTTGGACGCAGGAAATTGCAGACTAGTCCACCCCACGTATCTCACTCCGAAATCGCTGCAGACCAGTCTACATGCGGCTACCTGCTGAGTATTAGTGGTTTTCAGGCTGTTAATGTCCGAGGTCTCGCTATCTGGGGTCTGGAGGCTCGATTGCTCTTAATCCCCGGAAGAAGGAAGATGAGAGTGATGGTTGGGAAGTCGGTGCCGCAGCTTAGCCTTAGGATCTCAAAGCTAACAGATATGCTTAATCGGTTACAACCACGTATATAGCCGTTGTAACGTGTCCCACACCTATACCACTTACCGTGGCCCACGAGGCATTGACACTCGAGAGAGCTCAAGGCAGGGGGGGGTCCACAAGGGAAGCAGACCCTCCTGCTGGCCTCAAGATACTCGAGATTTAGATATCATACTATTATTAGCGGCATGTTTTTTCATCAGGATAGATATTTTCCTATAGAAACATTACTTTCAACAGCAAACTCCGCCATGCTAGGCAGAGGTATCTCGAGGCAATTGTCTCCACTCGCCTAGCTCGAGCGGCCTCGTGGGCCACACTAATACCGCCAACCCTGAATTTCCGACAACGTGGGTTGGGGCGTTTTGGATGTGCATGTGTGTGGTTCGACGAAGGTGTCCAGTATAAAGACGAACTTGATACTTGATAAAGCGGGAATGCATACGCATTTTCGATACTGGGGATTTACAGTCATACTGGCATGGGGGGGGGGGGGGGGGGTGCGAATACACACTGACTGTATACGTATACTTTCAACAACTCTAGTGACACTACGGTCTGCATACAATTAATAGATTAAACAAAAAAAAAGAAATTCTCTAGTGACAACGCGGCTACGGTGCGAGCTTTCTGGCTTACCCATCTCACTACCTACCTACCCGAACACCATCTTCATCAGGCCGAGAAGAAACCCCCTACCTCCCCTCCCCGCCCCCCCCCCCCCCCCCAAACTTCCAAGATGTCAACAACTACAAAAGACATGGCCAAAGCCTCGAAAACCTCACGTCTCGTTTTTCCAATCACCCGCCCTCACTCGCACCCACCACCCTTTCCTCCCCCCCGGGGAATTTTCACCCCCAAAGCAGCAGCCAGACCTCAAACCCCTTTGATATCTTTGCAAGCATCTATCAACCAACCAACCAATCATCTGTAGACTACACGCACTAAGAAAAAAAAAAAGCCCCAATCGCAGGGTTAGGGTTCTACCTCACAACCACCCTACCCCCCCATAATCAACACCAATACACGAATCCAGAGCGTCAAATCAGTATGAAACGACTCACAAGGCGCGATACTTCCTACCTCGCACTTTGTCTGAGCTTTCCGGTATCGTTTAAAGATAATTATTTCCGCATGTTCAGGGTTAGGGTTTAGTTGGATTGGTTTTTGGGGGGTGAGGGAGATATGGGCGTTAGCGAAGGGGGTTTGGGAGAGAGGGAAGGTTGGTAGGTATAGGCAGTAGGTTTTGGGGGCGTTGGATGACGAATCGAGCGCTTTTTGGACGTGGAGGTTGTTGCTTACAGCTTTGAGAATGGCCTCGATACTTGTACTTGCTCGGTGTATTGTTTCCACTAGAAGTGTATATACTTGCGCTTCTTTACATGCAGGAACAGCTACTTACACATGGCTGGATGTTCATATTCTCAGATGAACATATGGTAGATTCGAACGACAGCCAGGCCTAGCTCATGTGCCGTTTTGTCACCATCAATGCTGTCAATAAGGCACTATCACTCGATTGCCAACTACACTGTCTGTGTGGACTAGAACGGGGCAGGACAACACAAGCAACTGGTGTGGCCAACTGGCTATGAAAGCAAGTGGTATTATAATGCTGTTTACGTGCGAGAGCTGCGTATATGCTGTTGTATGGCATACATTACTGCTAGTTACGTATACTACAACTGTGCACTCACCGCAAAGGAATTAATAGGTGGCAGGACAACCTGTCCTCGATAATACCGTGTAAAGCTGGAAGCTCTAGTATTGTCATCTTCAGTTTCATCCAGTAGTTTGGTTCTTGCTATATCTACGGGGACATACAATGCCGTGCAGTACCTGCTTACGAACTTGATACAGTAATGTCTTCTCTTTATACTCCTACGTAGGTAGTTATATGCAGGGTCGTTGTGTTAGTCTTAACCAAAACGTGGATCGCAGTGGAAAAGTAACAACCTTGATGGCATATACGTATGGAGCAGCGAAGGGGCTGTAGCCAGTTCTGGTTCTTTTTTTCTAATAAGCATCGAGATAGATATTACTATGATCTGAATAGGGACAAGTGGTCATTTATCTCACAATGCGCTGCGCAGGTACGGACACGGTTATCAAAACAGAACATCAATTCAATCGCAAACAAGCAACAAACTAAATACACATACACATACACATACACATACATCTACACCCTCTCAAACTCCGCCCACCACACATCCATCGTCCTGCACCTACTCACATCCTCCTCCCCCGCCACCCCAGCCTCCCTATTAACCCTCTCCAACTCCCCCCTCGTCTCCCTCTTCAACCTCTCCACCTCCCTCTTCACCCCCTCCTTCCCCCCCAAAACCCCCTCCACCTCGTCCCAAAACTGCTTATAAAAACACACCCAACTCACCTCCCACTGCCCATCCTTGACATCCTCCCCGGGCGTCACCATCCCCTCCCTCCTCACAACCCCCCACCCCGCCCTCCCCGCCATCTCCTTCACCTCCGCCGGCGCCGGCGCAGCCCTCACATTCGGCTCCGTCGCCGCCCGCTGCTCGGCCGTCTTCGCATCATAAAACACCGCCTGACACCTCGCGGCCAGCACATGCGGCCGCTGCTCCCCCAAGCGTCCCTCAAAACTATACTCCGCGACCAGCAACCGCGGCGCATACGGCCGCAGCGCCACCAGGCTCTCGAGCACCGCCGTCTTCGACGAAAAGTACCACAGGCTGTGGCTCAAAATGACAAAGTCGAAGCCCTGCCCCGCCGGCAGGGCCTCCAGGTACGCGTGCGGGTCCGTGGCGTGGAACGCGATGCGCCCGCCGAGCGCGGAGGACAGGATGTGGGCGCGGGCGGCGGAGACGGTGATGGGGTGGCCGTAGTCGAGGCGGGCGGGGTCGACGCCGGTGACGTGGCCGGTGGGGCCGACGAGGTGGGCGAGGACGAGGGTGGTCTCGCCTTGGCCGCAGCCGAGCTCGAGGATCTTGGAGCCGGCGGGGATGGCGAACTGCGACATGAGGGTGAGGCGGTGGCGGAACTGCGGGAGGACGTAGGTGTGGAGGTGTTGCGGGCTGTGGAGGTAGCTGGCGGCGAGGAGGGAGAGGGTTGCGTCGTCGTCGGATGTGGCGGCGGGCGCGGTGGGGGATGGGGGGGAGGCGGTGGTGGTCATGGCGGTGGGGATGAGCACTGCGGTGAGGTGAGATAGAGAGATAGATAGATAGAACTAGAGGATCGTGGGTATGTGTGTGAGGATTGTGCTGCTGTCAGTGCAGAGCGTGCAGAGCGTGCAGAGCGTGCAGAGTGGACGAGATGGGCGGTTTTCGCACGAGCTTTCTATTGACGTGTGCTGTGCGCTGTGCGACCTTCCTGTTTGCGCTGCTGCTGGATTTGGATGTCGCGGTGGGGGGGGGTGGGAGGTGGGGGTCACGTCGCCTGGGGGGGGGGGGGGGGGTTTACGGGGGGCTGGCAGGTTTCAGGCAGTGTGATGAGGAGGAGCAAGAGGAGGAGGTAATTCCACACCCAGGTCCAATTGCACCGATGTTCTTCACGGAGACACACCGAAGAGCCGGCAGTCGTCGAGAGAGAGTAATATTAGTGATGTGCGTGTACGTACCCAGTCAGCATGGGGATGCATATGGGGGAGTGAGTGCTAGCTTTGTGGCTGGAGGGCGACTGTGTTGAGAGGTCCCGTTTTACCCGCCGTTGCGAGTTGCGCCTGCCCGTGATCGGCAGGAGAGTAATCCGGTGCTACGAGCATTGCTATCAGCACGGCGCTAGCCGAGTGTGGACTAGCACGGGGGGGCAGAATAGTAGATTCCCAATGCAGACACAAATAGTAACACCCCGGTTGATTAGCGGATGTCTCAGCAACCAGCGCTATCATAAGATCCGTGATAACACAGTACGGCCAATGATATCCCGGTCACTCGATATCGATGGCAGGGATCCGTTTCGATACGAACCACGACAGCTCGCCCAATTGCAAGCAAGCTCACCGACACCTCTCCCAAGATCCTCTCCTCGAGCTTCATCGTCTTCGAATTCACCCTCTGCCCTCTCCCCCTCTCTCGAGCCAGACAGAGCCAGACAGAGACAGACAGAGACAGACACCACCCATCACACACCACAACCATGGCCATCCACACCGCCGCCGCCGACGAGGACGTCCTCCCCCCCTTCACGCCCACCAAGCCCTTCCTGCGCAGCCTCACGCTCCCCACGCCCGCCGCGCTACGCACGACCATCGCCCACCAACTATCCAACGTGCAGTTCCGCGCGACCCTGCTATGCTTCGTCATCATTGTCACCGTCGACATGGCCGGCTACCTCAGCTCTGCGCCGCAGGTGCGGCTCTTCGAGTCCATCGTGTGTCTCGACTACTACCGCGAGAATGATCCCGGCTTGATTGGCGGCGATGGGGGTGTGCCGGAGGAGTTGTGTAAGGTGGATAGTGTGCAGAGGGAGATTGCGATGCTGAATGGGATGCAGACGCTGTTTTCGAACATTCCTGGTATGTGCTAGATGGGGGTTGGGAGTGGGTGGGGTGGGGTGGGGTGGTGGGCATGGGTGCTAATGTGTGTGTGTGTAGGTGTCGTCCTCGCGATCCCCTTCGGCGTCATGGCCGACCGCTACGGGCGGCGGCCAATGCTCATGCTGACCCTTCTCGGTCTATCCCTCTCCTCCGCCTGGGTGCTTCTAATCTGTACCTCCCCCCCTTTCCTCCCCTCCTCACCACCGCCACTAACAAACACCCCACAGGCTGGTTCTCCCTCCCGATAAAGCTCACCTGGCTCTCCTCCCTCTTCTACACCCTCGGCGGCGGCGCCTCCGTCGGCTCCGCCCTCATCCTCATGATCATCGCCGACGTGACCCCCGCCGCCCAACGCAGCACCCTCTTCTTCCACCTCCAAGCCAGCGTGCTCCTCTCCGAACTCGTCGCCCCCCTCCTCGGCTCCCTCCTCATGTCGCGCAACGTCTGGATCCCCCTCCTCGCCGGCCTGGCCATCCAGACAGTCGGAATCCCCATCGCCGCCCTACTACCGGAGACCAAGTCCACGCACGCCACCACCGCCGCCGAAGGCGCCGACGACGAAGAGGCCCCCCCGCCGAAGCAGAAGAAAGGCGAGAGCGACTACCGCGCGGTGCTGTCCTTCCTGCTGGCAGACCTGAACACGGCGCTGCTGGTGCTGACCTTCCTGGTCGCCACCATCGGGCGCCAGGCCCTCGAGATGCTGCTGCAGTACGTGTCGAAGCGGTACTCGTGGCCGCTGGCAACAGCAAACATGCTCTTCAGCCTGCGCGCGGGGATCAACCTGCTGCTCCTGCTCTTGCTGCTGCCCTTCCTCGGCACGGCGCTGCTCTCGCGCTTCGGATACACCTCCGCGGCCAAGGACCTCCTCATCGCGCGCGTCAGCATCGCCTTGATGGCGGCGGGCTTCGGGGTCATCGGCGTGTCGCCGGGCGCGGCGGGGATGGTGCTGGGGCTGGGGGTGTATACGCTCGGCAGCGGGTTTGGCGCTGCGGCGAGGAGCTTGGTGACGGGGATGGTGAGGAGGGAGGAGGTGGGGAGGCTGTATACGGCCATTGCGGTGGCGGATATGGTGGGGGGGCTGGTGGCGGGGCCGGCGCTGAGTTGGTGTTTTGCGGTGGGGATGGCGTGGGGGGGGGTGCTTGTGGGGCTGCCGTTTATCGTGGCGGCGGGCTTGTTTGTGGCGGTTGGGGGGGTGGTGATGGGGGTGAGGATACGGGAGGGGGAGGGGGAGGCGAGGGAGGGCTATGTCAGGGTGGATGGGGAGGAGGATGGGGAGGAGGGGGGGAGGGAGTAGCTTTGGTGGTGGGGGGTTTGCGGCTGTGCTGTGGTTGGCGGTGGGATGGGCGTTTTGTGGGTTCGTAGTTGTGTATGTAGATGCGAATTTAGCAATAAGAATACCAGTTTTCGTTTTTTATAAACCGCAGATATCTAATCGTAAAGTGTTGTCTATCAAAGTACCCGTACCCAATTGCATCACGGAAAGCAATTATAACTACCAAGATCATCAAACCACACTTACCGTTGAAGAACCTCTTTTCTCGGTCATAGATTCATCAACGGGCCTTTGATCCACTCTGTGATATCCTCCGGTAGCTGATATATCCTGTAGTTCTCAAAGGTACGTAACAAGTTTAGTATCTACTCGGAATCATGATTCCGGTATTTAAGACACGCCCTATCACTCGGTCACAGGCAGTCACCTACCCGCCGGCGTAGGAATTTAGATCCACCAGCCACTATCCCGCAGATATAAGTTTATGTATATTCTTTACGCCCGCGTAGCAGAAACTCATCCCATGAGACCAAAATCATGAAAGTTGTCAACTTGAGTGTTTTTCTTAAGGCACTAGCTGTTACTACTTAGGTGTTTGGTCTGCGATCGTGAAAAATTGGGGCAATAGGGTCAATATAGGGATTGGATTTAAGGCGAACCTAATTTGAAACTAGACGGGTGCTAGACATGCCGTAATAGAATCAATGGTGTTTTATACGTGTTGTTAAAGTTGTGAAATATTTAGCAAAATTTGTCAAGTTGAGTGTTTTTCTTGAGGCACTAGTTACTTCTACTTAGGTGTTCGGTCTGCGATCGTGAGAAGTTGGGATAACAGGGTCGATGTAGGAATTGGATTTGATGCGGGCCTGATTTGAAATTAAATGTGTGCTAGCCATGCTGTAATAGAATCAACGGTGTCTACGGGTTGGTGAAGCTGTGAATTCGTTTGAGGTTTTTCGGATGTGAATTATTCCTCTCTCCCGCTATTAGCGAACACAACTGCCAGCTTATCACGAATTTGAAGATATTGCGCATCTACTCGCGGTCGGTACAAAAAAAGGTTTGGACAGTCTTACTCACACGATGAATTTACTCAAATCCCATAATGCCCAAACAACTTCAACCCGAGCAAGACTCCCGAACCACCACGATGTCAAAAATGTCTCGAATCCGAGTGACACCCCATGACCCACACCACCGCATCGCAACAGCCTCGGCCCAACCCTCCCACCTCCCAAACCCACCCCCACCCACACCCGCCCCCATCCTCTCCGCCCCCATCCCCTCCGCATCTCACCCGCCCACCACCTGCCCAACCTATTTTCGTCTCCTGGGGGGTGATTACTAACCTTCCAATAACTGACTAGCCACAACAACAACAACAACTATCACGCTAAATCAATGCACTCGACCACATCCGGACTTCTACTATTGGCCAGCCACAGCTGCTCGTCGGCGTGACTCCGCGACCAGCAGCGACGATAATAACGCAGCTTCCGAGTTCCGGCCACACCGCCACGAGCGCAATTCTAGCTTCGCTTCCACGATGATACTCATCAGAAGTCTTCAGCTAGCTGCCTAGCGCTCGGGCCCGGGGGGGGGGGGGGGGGGGGGAGGTTCTATCACTCAGTTGCTCGCTCACCGGGGGAGCTAGGGGAGGAAGTGTGATGGTAGCGATAACACTCAACCCACGGCCGTTGCAAAACGGGAGCCAAAGTGATCTGCGCAACCGGGGGAGAACCGGACCCCGGGGGGGGGGGGGGGGGGTGAGGATAATTACGCGACCTTGAGGACTAGAGTGGCAGGTAACGTAGTAGCAACATAGTCATACTCGGTATTATTATTCGTACCTTCGAGTGCCGCCGTGGGCGAATCGATTATCATTCTCTCCAGCTATCCGCGACTATTCTATCTGTGCCTGTACTGCACCCTGTATCCGTCTCAATCTCTGCCCGTCTCAATCTCCCCCCACCCCGGTCCCTGCCAATGCAACTCCCCGTTGCCGAAAAGCCACAGCCTAAATCATCTGGCAGGAGCTTATTTCAGCCACTCCCGTAGCCAAGTTAACCTAGCCCGAGTACTAACCGGCCGTACGCCTAAAACCGACCCCGAGGGGGGTAATAGGGCCCATCGGCGTTGCCTTAGCAGCAGCCGATATCAGGAGCCGATTTAATTAATCACAAAGGCAGGTACTTAACAGCTCGCTTAGCGTAGGGTAATGTCGGGCTTTCCTTGTGCGTGAGGCCGAGATGGCCAGGCTGGTTAATTGGCAGAAGTTCTCGACCGCGATAATTAGCACCCCCGTGATCATGGGGTGCTGAGTTAGATAGAGGCTTGTTTGTTATTGGCGCTTCACCAATAAAGGTCAAACCCGTATTTTCAAACAGCCTATCTGCCAGTAAACAGGCACACAAGTAAAATTGCAATTGCCATCTTTTTTTAAACATCCAGTAGCTTCAATTCATGTCTCACCCTAAGAAGTTGGCTACTTAGCGACTCTCGCGATCGCTTTCGTGGCTTTTGTGGCGTGGTAATCACAGCTCTAGCTCTCTCACTAGTCACACTCTACTGTGCTGCACGGTCTTGTCTCGCATCCAAAACCATTGATCGCCGGTCATCTTCAGCTATCTGAATGTTCCGCAAACCACCACTCCTCGGCTAGCGGTTTAGGGTGCTGATCACCCACTTCTCCCGCGCAGGGAAGGTGGGAGGGTGGCTAGATAATTAATCTGCCCGTCCTAATCTCGCAGTAACCAGGAAACGAAACGGCCGGATCGGGGGTAGCGTCCAGGGGTAGGTACAGACAGTGTGCTAGGGTGTGGCTAAAAGCAACTGACCGCTAGCGGTGTGGTTGTGGTGACTACTGGCCCATGGTGAGTGAGATTACTGGTGGTTGAGATGACGATGAGCTGTAGAGCCGTTGGAGCACAAGGGCATGTATGGTGGTGATTGGAGCTGTTGCTGCGTGACTGTACAGGTGTAATTTGTCGACTCTGCAACGTCCTCCAGCCCTCGCGACCGATAACTAATCCACCACGCGCAAAGTAATCTTGGCGATATGCCCTATTCGCTACGCGTTCATTTAACAGCTATCTGAGACACCGGTGGCTGTCTGTCAGCACTACCCAACGCCCAGCCTTCGAATCTTGGCTGCCAATTGCAACTACCTCCTTGAATGTACTCCGGCCTTCGAATCTTGGCTGCCAATTGCAGCAAGCCTCCTTGGATGTACGGATTGTGACAGCTGCCAGTGTGTGTGTATTTGTGCCTGTAGACGTTTCCTCTGCGCGGCATCTACTGCACACCCCTGCATGGCACAGAACCTCCTCAAAAGCTTGGTTTGAAGAATTAACGCGGCACAGTAATCATCTTTGCAGAACCGCTGCAGAGACTCTTGTAGAGCAAGCTCAACCACTGCGCCAAGGTGGTGCAGCTGGCCAATTCAGCCAATTGAGCATATCATCATCTCCTGCGCTGGGCGGTCAGACCTCATCCCATCCCCATCGTCATCCCGTTCCTTCCCTCTCCGGCATGGAACAGCGCTAAACCCCGTGATCTATCTATGGACGTGTTAGTATAGTATAGTGTATGGTATGGTATTGTTGGGAAGGTAGGGATGAGCAGGTTCGGTAAAATAAGGAAGCACCGGCAGTGGGCGCGGATGCTTAGGATCTGCTATCTTCACCGGTGTTCTCGCACACACAGCGGCATCTCGTATCACCTGCTCGCAGGGGGTGCATGCGGGGAAGTTTGGTTTGAAGGCTTGATTTGGTGGTGATGTATCGGTTGCTGTTGTGTAGGGTTGTCTTGATTTCCCGGTTGCAGATAGGTGAGGTTGGGTTGGGTTGAGTTAGGTTCATTGTGGCTGGTGAGTGTGTGTTTGCGGTGGTGTAGTGGGGGATTTCGTTTGTATTTACCAGGTCTGGGGTGGTAGAGGGTGCTGTATGGTTTCTTCGCTAGGTAGATGTTAATTGTATTGCATGGTCGATATGAAATTGCCAATATCGAGTGCTATCCCATGACTGAACCCTCTCTACCCCTGGCCCTCGCTAGCACACAGTCATCATCAATCTCCTCACTATATTAGCGCCAAGGAAGCTAGCGACATTAAGAAACTATAATTATAGTTTCAGTTGTAATTATCCTGCCCACTTGTATCATCATCGTCAAGCGCAATATCTTTAAGCAATGACAATATCACTCTGCTGAAACAGACGGGATGATTCGTATTACCACCTCTATACGTAGGTGAGCTTCAACGCACTGTGAATTGTGTTTATTTAGCACCTATACAATATCTATTATCTGCTGAAACACCTCCTCCACGAGGGTAAGCGTTGGATAGATAGCCCACAGCAGCCTGCAAATACCTCGTGGGGGCGGGCGGTTTTGCAAAAAAGTAACTAGCTTACTTATCTATTCCTATCAATTGCAATACGTCGATCCGGCCCAATTCCCCGTGATTATCATCACCATGTTGTTGTCGCTGATTGCGAAAGCATCATACGAGCTACCATCACTAGCTAGCCAGCTTAGTAGTAGCTAGGCAAGAGCAATCTCTGGGGAACGCGCTGTGCCACAGCCACCAAAAGGCCAGAGTGCAATAAAATCAATCAATCAATCAATCAATAGATTGCAATTGCACCCCCCCACGCTATCCTACCGTACCGTACACTACCGACCACCGCAATTGCAATCAACCGCCACATCGATATCTAGATCGAGTCTACACGATCTTCCTTCTAGAGCACCCACCTTCCCAAAACCCGCCCACCCCCCCAGTGCCCAGATTACTTAACACCTCCCCTTCCTGACTGTACTTGCGGAACAACTCGGGCACCACTAACCCATCAACCACACACCCGCCCACCGACCCCCCGCGATCCAGCCAATAGGAGAATTCCCAGCTGCCACCCCCACGTGCCACACCCCCCGGTACCTGCATGTGGTGTACCGAGCCTTGGCGTACAGGGGTGAGAGGGGAGAAAAGAAGAATGATCGCCAGCATCCTTGGCGGTGTGGCACTTTCTGCATTGGTGGGCCCGGGAGTGGGGTCGGCTGCGGGTGGAGTGCTGAGATATCTGAGATGCCGAATTCGGCATGGGATCTGGAATCACATACAGTGACTGGTGCTGGGGGTGTGATCGACTGCGGTCTAATATTGGGTAAAAGGTGGTATATATGCTAGAGCAGTTGTGGCGCTACAGGGGGGAGAATAGGAAGGTGGCTAGGTATGGGCCGGGGGTGAATGTGGTCGTTAATTGAAATGATTTCACTGGTTTAGGATAGATACGGGACGAAAGGCTTGACTGCAATAAGATGGGTAGGCATGACGCTAATATTGCTACTAATCCAACCAAACTAATAATAACATATTGATGATAAGAAACACGCCCTATAGCTAAAATACACTAAAAAAGCACACAGCTCCAATTATCCCGCTCAGCTATGACCCGCATGCTCACCATGCTCACCATGCTCCCCATGCTCGCCATGTCCCCCAGCAGCAGTACCAGTCCCAGCAGCAGCACCAGCCCCCGCATGTCCATGATCATGATCCCTCCCATCCCAGTCCTCAACACCAAACATCCTCTTGAACTCTTCACTCATCCTGGCCGGAACATGACCCTCCGGCTTCCTTAGCGCTTTAAACTTCTCAAGATCAACAACATTCTTATCCTGCCAATCTAGGATGGCATCGAAATCCCTGCACTTCCTGTTGATGCTAAAGTCGGGGAACGGGTGAGTCTGGCCCTCCACCCACGCCTGTGTGACAATATCGGTCGAGGCAGTACACATAAGGTGCTGCAGAATGATGTACAGGCAGTGCGAGGTGTGCACTCTGTGAAGTTCGGGGAACTGGCCGTCGGGGTACTTGGCGCGGAAGTAGTACTCGAAGTCGAGATCGCGGCGGATGGCATTGAGACAGTGGATCTGGTGGAGGACGTCGAGCTCGGCAATGTGCTTGTCGGGGCCAAGGCCGAAGTCGTCGGGGTATCTTGCTGTGCGGTTGGGATCTAGATGTGAGGAGGGTAAGATTAGTTTGATGTGGAAGGGAATTGAAGGGTGGGCGGGGGGTGCGGGCTACCTTTGCCGAGCTTGATCACGTCCTCGGTGGTGATCCAGGTGGGACGGAGGTCGGCAACACGGTTCCAGGCTGCGTCGACCTCGGGGCTGGGGGGTGCACGGTAGATGCTGCCGTCCATGTCGAGGAGTGAGCCATTGACTCGGGTATCGTACAGCGGGATGTTAACATTTTTGAGGAGGGGAGCTGTTCCAATGAGTCAGTAGTGCTAGCAGAGAAATGAGTAACAAGGTGTCCCCACAGTAGTAGTTGGTCCCCTTCAACAATGCGTTATTGACATTGTTACGCATGCGATATGTGTAGCTATAGGAGGCCCCAAAGACAACCAGCGAAACACAGAACAACCCAACATTGAGAAAGAAGAAAATGCGTCCCTTGCGGCCTGGCAAAATGCTCGACATGGTATGTTTCTCCTGGACCACGAACTCCTCCGAGCTGGAGCTCCTCGAGGACTCTTCGCCCACAAGATGCTCAGCAGACTCATCACGGTAGGCGGGAGTCTTCTTGGTCATGGGGAGGTATCCCTTCTTCGTAAGAAACATCGTGAATGTGGGAGAAAAAAAAGGAAAATTGCAATAATAGTAAAGAGGGATAGGTTGTGGATAGGGAGGGAGGGCGTCCTTCGGGGGGAAGAAGGGAGAGAGGAGAAGGCTGGAAAGCTTGCCAGCTTGATATATTGTGACGCTGCACTTGGCATCGTATGATAGGCAGGTGATATGAGAAACTTGGAAGATATTTTGATTATCTTGCAGGACCGTTGACTACCCCATGTCTCGAGAAATGCTGTGAAACGTTGCCAGTTCCTGTGGTGGTAAGGGGGGTTGATTTGTCTGAGCTTATGTTGATTAAATCGATGGGCGTATGTTCGATATACCAGGGTCTGATAGTGCAAGAATCCTGGAATGATACCCTTGGTCGATTGTAACTGCTACAATCTCGGATGTGGCGGTGCAAATGATAGAAACCTTCAGTCTACATTCCTGACCAAGGATGCCGATCGAAATACGTATGAGGGTACGGAAAGACCGGTCATCAATCATCTAATTCACTCCAAAGATAGTAATCTTTACTAAGAGAGATAGAGCTGACTGACTCTAGTACTGTAGAAGACGCTCCTCGGTATCATGATTAGTCCCGTTCACAGGGACAAAAGATACGAACAAAGACACCTTCCATTATGAAGCAAAGTGCCCCCACGTTCTCAATTGACGATCCCTCGTTAGTCTGAAGACAGAGATATTGTAATAATTGCCTCAAAACACTAATTCAACTAGAAATGCTGTGACGGTTAAGCAAAGCGTTACTGAGTATCAATTCACCGAGCAGGCTCCTTGAAACACGTATGGATAGTAAAGATGCCGAATAAGATATCTTTTTTTGGAAGGTGTGCTATCCCGTTAGTCTGGAGCAGTCGGCTCTGATGATGTCGAGACAGCCCGGGACCGAAGATAGGAATATCCGGCGGTACTGAGAGGGATATTTGGAATATGGTGACCTTCCGATGAAGGGCATCCAGTGGTGGGGGCTATAATCATGCAGTATCAGTAATGAATCCCCTCTGCAGGAAGGGGGGGGGGGGGGACCATTGACCGAAACTCAAAGCGGATCAGAGTGCAGCATTCATTGTGATTAGGCAGGTGTGGGGTATCGTTGAGTAAAGCTTGTCCGCAATGACTCTACATGTCAACTCAATGCTCAAGCACCCCCGGTATCTTTCCTGGAAGCGAGCGGTAGAGGGGCGGAACTGCCCTGCCGTCGCTAGAGATGAGATATTCTCGGAAGTTCTAACAAATTTGCTGATCTTAGTAACTCTTATGGCTGCGTAGACTCTGTGATCTGAAGATATATAAACTCACCTCTCACCCGTCTTTTCTCTCTCCCTCATCCAACACAATCACATCCTTTCAACAGTCCAACACAAACATCCTTTCTACTCTTCTCAACCAAAGAAGTCTCCGGCTTTCCAACATCCAATACATCATTCAAAATGCGTTACCAACTCTCTTTCGCTGCTCTCGCCCTTCTTGGCTCCCACGTTCTTGCTCTCCCGGTTCCTGGTTTGTATTCCTCCGATTCAATACATTTATATCAGCATACTAACAGTCCCACAGAAGCTGCTGAGAAGCGTGAGGCCGCTACCGAATATTTCCACGTTGCCGGCGACGTTCTTGACAAGAGGGAAGCATCAAAGGAGTACTTCCATGTTGCAAACGACGTTCTCGACAAGAGGGAGCCCGCCAAGGAGTACATTCACTTCGACAACGATATCCTCGACAAGAGAGAGCCCGCCAAGGAGTACATTCACTTCGACAACGACGTCCTTGACAAGAGGGAGCCAGCCAAGGAGTACATTCACTTCGACAACGACGTCCTCGACAAGAGGGAGCCCGCCAAGGAGTACATCCATTTCGACAATGATGTTTTGGACAAGCGCTCAAAGGAATATTTCCACGTAGCCAACGATGTCCTCGACAAGAGGGAGCCCGCCAAGGAGTACATTCACTTCGACAACGATGTCCTCGATAAGAGGGAGGCTGCCAAGGAGTACATTCACTTCGACAACGACGTCCTCGACAAGAGGGAGGCCGCCAAGGAGTACATCCACTTCGACAATGATGTTTTGGACAAGCGCTCAAAGGAATACTTCCATGTTGCCAATGATGTTTTGGACAAGCGTGCCCCAGCAAAGGAGTACATTCACTTCGACAACGACCTTCTCGACAAGAGGGAGCCCGCCAAGGAGTACATTCACTTCGACAACGACGTCCTCGACAAGAGGGAGCCAGCCAAGGAGTACATTCACTTCGACAATGATGTTTTGGACAAGCGCTCAAAGGAATATTTCCACGTAGCCAACGATGTCCTCGACAAGAGGGAGCCCGCCAAGGAGTACATTCACTTCGACAACGACGTTCTCGACAAGAGGGAGCCCGCCAAGGAGTACATTCACTTCGACAACGACGTCCTCGACAAGAGGGAGCCCGCCAAGGAGTACATCCATTTCGACAATGATGTTTTGGACAAGCGCTCAAAGGAATACTTCCACGTTGCCAATGATGTTCTCGACAAGCGCTCAAAGGAGTACTTCCACGTAGCCAACGATGTCCTCGATAAGAGGGAAGCCGCCAAGGAGTATTTCCATGTTGCCAATGATGTTTTGGACAAGCGTGCCCCTGCAAAGGAGTACATTCACTTCGACAACGACGTCCTTGATAAGAGGGAAGCCGCCAAGGAGTACATCCATTTCGACAACGATGTCCTTGATAAGCGCTCAAAGGAATACTTCCACGTTGCCAACGATGTTCTCGACAAGAGGGAAGCCGCCAAGGAGTACATCCATTTCGACAACGATGTCCTTGACAAGCGCTCAAAGGAATACTTCCACGTTGCCAATGATGTTCTCGACAAGAGGGAAGCCGCCAAGGAGTACTTCCACGTCGCCAACGATGTCTTGGATAAGCGCGAGGCGGCCAAGGAATACTTCCACGTCGCCAACGATGTCTTGGATAAGCGCGAGGCGGCCAAGGAATACTTCCACGTCGCCAACGATGTCTTGGATAAGCGCGAGGCTGCTACCGAGTATTTCCATGTTGCGAACGATGTTCTCGACAAATAGAGGGCTTCTTTGAGGAGGATGAAAAGACTGTAAAACATAGGATCTGTGGTTGATGTGTATGGATAGTATTTCTTTTTCTATTTCTTATCTTGTCGTGTTTCCTATATTGGCCGGTGCCTTTCCACGCGATTGTTCGATTTATTTCTTTCTCCATGTAGCGTAAATGACTTTTTTGCTTTTTGTTTGTACTGGAATTACAACGTTTTATCTCTGAACTCGCTTCGCACATTGAGACCTTCGTAGCCGGTGACCGTTGGCGTTGACAGCTTCTTCCGAAAGGATTGATATAGAGGAACACCCCCTTAGCTATCATAATTAATTAGTTAGGACTCGGTGAAGTAGATGCACAGCTGACATACCTCATGAGGCGATAGATAGATAGCCGTTGGGTTGAAACAGACTTCCGGAGACTTAACTCCCCAGCTCTCATTTTGCCGGTCTTGCATTGGACTTGAAAGCCCCGGGGTACCATTTGAAAGACTCCGTATATCCGTGGGTATTCGTCGTGTGTGGTTATGGGTCGCCGAAGTGACAGAGCTCATCCGCCGAGGGAGGATCCATCTTGTTCTCGGGAGTAGGAGGTGTAGCCTGAGTAGTTGGACATTTCGTAATTAGATGGTACGCTTTGGGTGCTAGTCATATTTATGTTGCGTTTGGAACATGGGGGAGTATATACTGATAGAGTCGAGGTTTATTTAACTTTATGATTACGGGTATCTATTAATTAATTAACTCTCACTACGTCTGACGTTGGAATAACACCAGGAAGCATGTAGGGTAACATTCCTCACTACTTTATGCGGCCTAGACGTATGGCAACAAGCTTTTGTGATCGCTCGGCTAACCTTGGCAATGTTACAGGGGTAGGTTTTGTCAAGGTGGGTACGGGTGCGTAAAAGGGATGTGACAAGGCACTTGTATTTTTTATGGCGTATGATTTTTGTTTTATTTCCACTTTGGCTCTCTATTTATCGCCGTGCAACTTTTCTATCCAAGTAGTAGAGACAGTTCTAGAAAGTGAAATATATCTAGCCTTTTGTGAAATATCCCGGAAATTCAATGAAATTAACACTGCATGAAAGAGAATTGAAATGGCCAAGAAAAAGGAAAGAAAAAGGAATAAAGAAAAATAAAATGAATAAAGAATTTCCCGATGGGACAAAGAAGTTGCTGGTTGAGTTTTGGTGATGGACGAAAAAAAGTTTGTTGGGTGACCGCTACTCAGCCACATCAGCCACAGTGGGGAGCACGGAAGTATCCCCTGTTCGCGCAGATCATCCTCTGCTACCGACTCCTTCGCGTTGGATGTCTACGGTCGGTTGCTACAGACTGACAGCAACAAACATAAAACAGACCGTCAAACAACAGTCATTTTCAGTCATGCTCTAAGATTTTGGATACGCTTTGTGAAGCCCAAGAGGCTGGCTTTCTAAATAATCTAGGATTATCAGTTTAAGAGCAATATTGATTGAGCTATGAGCATTTAAAGTGCACGTGGCGGAGGTCAAATTCCTCGAATTTGACCTACGAGCTGGTTGCTGGGCGCAATGACAGGGGGCCAAGACCCCGCCGAGCCACTAAAAAAGACTGGATGTAGTTGCGCAAAGTCTCAAGTGTTGGCCGAGATTCCTAAGCACGTACGGGACTAATATTCACCCTCGACTAAGCTAAGTTAGAGTTCGCGGTGGTGCTGTTGCGGACTGGTTTGGAGTTCAGTTTTTTGCCAGGTGGGCACGTGACCGGCTTCGCCAATGCCTGCGATCTAGCTTGTTTTTCTTTACGTCTAGTCGCTCATTTTCTTCTTTTCCTTTCTACAATTATCTGTACTATTTTCTTGGCCTGTAGTATTTAAGGAACCAATTCGGCTCCCGGAATAAATCAACTAACTCTACGCACAATCGTACATGAGCGCCTGCTATCACGCTGACGGCAAAGTGCGTACAGAAATTACGAGATAAATATCGCATATAGATACATAAATATCAAAGATATAATCTCTGCGTCGACTGGGAAAGGGGGGGGGGGGTTTGCTCGCGGTGAGCATAAGCGAGTGATAACCCATGTTCAACCTACATATTCGTAGCGAAAAGCAAGGCTAGCCTCCTCCGATCTCCGTCCTAGAAGAGGGTGTACCCTTCTTCTTCGACCAGCACGAGTCATGCTCAAAATAAACCTCAGTGTGTACCTACGGAAGTCGGGGCCTATCTCTCACTCTTCAATCCAGTCTACATCAGTTAGGCAGTGTGGTCGACGAGCCGGCGCAAGACGAGCAAGAGAAAAGCTCGAATCGCGGCTCATGATAACAGCTACTCGAGCCTTCTAGTGGTCCCAGGTATTAGTCCTTGAAGTCATTAATATTCTAGATCTCTTTATTGGAACATATGCATATATGGCTATGCTGAGTCGAGTCCCCAATTTTTGAGGGTTAGTTGGGCCAGGTCGAGCGAAACATTTTATCCGGTTAATCTGCGGCGGGTGCACGTATCTTTCCGGCATCAAATATGATCGAATTTCACGATCGAGTGATATTCCATGAGCCTAAGTCACCACATTCTCTACAGGTTTTCCGCCTGGCGGTATTTCATATAGCATACCCGTGTCTTGCTATAGCTTACCCGGGCTAGATCTAAAAGCTCGGGAAAATCGCCTTGGGTCGGTCGTGTCTTCAATTTGCTTTGGCGGGTCGGGCTGGATCGATGCATTTTCGGACTCGGGTATATTATGTACCTTACCGTCGACACGCATACAATTTTGAGCCTTATTCAGTCGGCTTATCCAGAACGTAGGCTTACAATAGTCTTATCAGAACAAAAATCCTTTTCTAAGTCTTATTTCATCCTTAAAACATGCTTAAATAACACTTACCTGAACCTTATTGTATTCATAAGGCTATTGTGAGCCTTCGTTCTGGATAAGCCTACCCAATAAGGCTCAAAATTTTATGCGTGTCGACGGTAAGGTACGTATATCTATTGCGAAGCCTGGAACGATGCTGGTATCTTGCTGGGCGGGAACCAATTCAGAGATATGCCGTTTGAAAACTGTTTCACCTGCTCTAGTCCAAAAGGTATATAAGGGAGCATGCTACAGTCATGTAGCAGGAATTATAACTCGACCCCCGAGATATCGGTGCATCCCATCGGTGCAATTTAATTTGTCTCTCATAGCTATAGTATTATATTTCAGTACCATACTTACCTTACCTCCGTTGCGAATACAAAAGTCGCAATGGAGAGGTTCCGCAATGAGAGTACATACTAGCGCCATGGATTTGGAGTGAAGAGCACGAAACCGAAGGTTTCACAGGCTGGCTTATCCCATGGACCGTAACGACGTAAAAAGATTCGAAATCGCAACCACACAATATCCTTTGTGTTATCATGGTTAGCCCTTCGACTGTATCTATCAAAATTTAGTGGGGAAAGTGATTTTTTTAATGTGTGTATTGTAGGATGCTTGGATGACAGGTGGTAACAAATCTGAATATGATTGAAAACCCCTCTTTTTTCTGTTTTATTTGATGAACTATGGTGATAGGAGTGATTTTTTGCAATAAAAAGTCCCCAACCCGTACAAATTCTGCAGCCATCTTGCTTGAATGCTTTAGATCTGTATGTAGAATGATATTGCCTATTGTAACGGCAATTAGGTATTTCTGGCTAGGTGATAAACTAGAACGAGGGAAGGAGGTATTGTGTAGTGGGATTAGGATTTGTAATGGGGATTTCTATTATGTTCTTTTGGTTTCTGTTATGCGAAGGTATTAGTCATCGTTGGATTATGGATGGATATATAAGGGGGTGTTGTCTTGTGTTTTTGTCTGTTTTCCTTCTTCTCTTCTTTCCTTACGCAACCTCTGTATTTATTCCACGAATACTATTCTTTGTCCGCACTACGTCAAAGGGCTCCAATCGGTTTATCATACCAGGTAGAGCCACCCATAGTCCATAGTCAAAGCATACTTTTACGTCTACGTCCACGTCTACGTCACTACCGAGGTTGTATTCCTTGGCACCACAGTCTATCGCCTACGGTCCCCGTGATACGTAGGTTGCGTCCTCTATCGCCAACCAATACAACACCATAGTTTACAATGTCGGAACATGCATCTATTGATTATCAACAACTCAGCAATAGTCTCCAAGCCCTTTTTCGAGCGCATCCACGAGTCGATGATACTGTTGGAACTGAAGCCTATGCGCTTCTCCAACAGTGCCAACATGGTCTTGCTCAATATGCAACGGATTTACAGGAGGTAGAAGCGGAAGCCGAGAGGGCGAGAAGAAGGTTTGAACAAGATCTTGCTGCTGCCCGAGCTCAACAGGCTCCTGTTGAGGCTGTCGCCCCTGTGCAAGCACCCGTTGAAGATAATGTTCCACCTGCACCCCCAGTACCACCCATTACAGATACTACCTATCGGTCGGAGAAGCTTCCAGACCCTGAGGTATTCAAGGGGGATCGTGATCGAGAAAGGTTACACCTGTTTAAGCAACAAATGAAGATTAAGCTATTGGGAAATGCCGATCGCTATCCCACACTACAGTCTAAACTATCCTATGCATTTAGCAGATTGGAAGGCGTTGCCGCTAATCAGTTTTTACAATACGTCGGTGAAGAAGGCATTGCTTTGCCCTCTATGCTACGATTTTATGAGGTTTTGGAAACTGCTTTTGGGGACCCCGATCGGATGCGTACGGCTAGGAGGAATCTTAGGAACATCCGTCAACGAAATCGAACATTCGCCGATTATTTTGCTGAGTTTCAACGGTATGCTGCTGAGTCGGGTATGGATGAAGTCTCTCGGATTGAGGCTTTGATGGAAGGTATTAATGCGGAACTCGATGAATCAATGATACACCATGAAACTCCTACAACAGTAAATGCCTGTGCAATACTTCTGCAACGGTTGGATAATCATCGCCGAGCGGCAGAAACTAAGCGAGAAAGTAAAAAACCTTGGACTACTACTACTCCGGCCCCTCGTCCTCCACCACATCCTGTTTCTGCTCCTCGTGCTCCCGTCCCAGTCGCCAATGCACCTGTTACTGAAAGTCATCCCTCATCCCGCCCAGGAGGTGATGTACCAATGGATCTATCTGGAGGACGTCGTCGCCCCTCCCCTACCGAAAGAAATGCCCGCTTAGTTGAGGGCCGATGTTTCTATTGCGGAGGTGTTGGACATATGGTTAGGGATTGTCCTCAAGCGAGGGTAACTGGAAACCAACCAAGGAGGTCTGTGATGAGAGGAGCAGCGTTGACAGTGGAAGAAAATGATGGAAGCGATAACGAGTCGGCAAAAGATTTGTCCCTGCACTAGGTGGCTTAGCCCAGGGACCATTTAAGGATTTTTCTAGGATGTGTATTTCTGGTTTTTCGGTATCAGAGGAGGAAATGGATGGAAATCAACTTGTAGTAACTTGTTCGATTTCACAGAATAAAAATTCGTTTATACCTACCTACGCCCTTATTGATACCGGAGCATCAGGATATACTTTCATTGATGAATCTTTTGCACGCCACAACAATCTTACAATGACCCCTCTTAAAATAGCTCGCCATGTAGACGTTATAGACGGAAGGCCTATTAAGTCAGGAAAAATTACCCATATTATCGATGTCTTACTAGACATTCATGGCCATCAGGAGACGGCGCCATGTTTTGTAACGAAGTTAGGACACTATCCAATTGTAATGGGGATACCTTGGATGCGACGACATGATGTTACGATTCGACCGAAAGAAAATCTACTTGTTTTTGACTCTGGAAGCTGTTGTCAACACTGTTCACTCAGTGGAACTGCAGTTATTGTTCATGGTATCTCGATTCCCTTACCGGAACACCATACAATCATCGTTTCAGCAACTGAGAAATCCACTGTCGATATTGAACAATTAGTACCGAAAGAATTTCACCCTCATCTCCATATGTTCAAGGAATACGATGCTTCAATTCTCCCACCACATCGACCATCCCATGACATCGAGATAGTATTGGAGGAAGGCAAACGACCACCATATGGACCTATATATGGATTATCTCAAATTGAGTTAAAAGCACTACGAGAATATCTTGATGAAAATTTACCTAAAGGATTTATTCGAGCCAGTGAATCACCAGCGGGAGCACCCATACTGTTTGTAAAGAAAAGTAATGGAACCCTTCGACTTTGTGTTGACTATCGAGGCCTAAATGCGATTACAATTAAAAATCGATATCCATTACCATTGTTGAAAGAAACCCTGGCTAAGTTATCAAGGGCACAATACTATACTAAGTTGGATTTACGATGGGGATATAATCAAATCAGGATAGCAGAAGGAGACGAATGGAAAACGGCGTTCCGGACTCGATATGGACATTTCGAATATACAGTAATGCCGTTTGGATTAGCTAATGCCCCTGCCACATTTCAGCATTGGATTAATGATATTCTACGTCCCTACCTCGATCAATTCGTAACAGCATACTTAGACGATATCCTCATTTATTCCGAGACCCTATCAGAACATAAAGAACATATTCAAAGAGTTCGAAAGGTACTTGATGAGAATCATGTTCACCTTAAACCTGAAAAATGTGAATTTATGGTTCAGGAAACAAAATACCTTGGTCTGATTCTTACTCCGGATGGGAATAGAATGGACCCAAAGAAAGTTGTCGATGTTTTGGAATGGACCACACCGACAAACCTTCGTGATGTTCAAGTATTTCTACGATTTGCAAATTTCTATCGACGATTTATTCTAGGATATTCGAAAATTGTTGCTCCGCTTACAGCTTTAACAAAGAAAAACGTTAAATTTGAATGGACGGATGAAAGGGAGGAAGCATTTCAAACTTTGAAAAAGATGTTTATAACGGCACCGATATTAACTCATTTCAATCCGGATCGAAAAATTGTGATAGAAACCGATGCATCCGACTATGTTTCAGCAGGAATCCTATCTCAACGTGACAATGAAGGAATCCTACATCCAGTCGCTTTCTTTTCCAAAAAACATTCTCCTGCAGAATGTAACTACGAAATCTATGATAAAGAACTTTTAGCAATTATACGATGTTTCGAAGAATGGCGACATCACCTGGAAGGAGCTCAATTTCCAATTGAAGTTCTTAGCGACCATCGAAATCTTGAATATTTTATGACAACAAAATTGTTAAATCGTCGACAAGCCCGTTGGTCTGAATTTCTTTCACACTTCGATTTCGTTATACAATTTCGGCCAGGAAAACAAGGAACAAAACCAGATGCATTAACTAGGAGGTCAGGTGACCTACCTAAAGAGGGGGATGAACGGTTGACGCATCAGAGTCAAGTGATTCTGAAGCGAAAAAATTTGGATACTAAGCTAAGTTTGTTCGCGGGTTCTTTGTCAAATGAATCCGCTGAAGGAGCGTCCACTGTAGAGGAGTTATTTTCAAAAGCTTACCAAGTAGATAGTTTCCCAAACAAGGTCCTCAATATGCTTCGGAATGGCATACGCCACTCAAACAAAATCTCGCTTGCCGAATGTACGGAAGACAACAACGGTCGGCTGCTTTATCGAGGCATGCTATATGTACCAGACGACGATGACCTTCGACTAAGGCTTTTAAAAGAATACCATGATAAACCATCTGCAGGACATCCGGGTAGAGCGAAGACTCTGGAGCTCCTAAGTCGAGAATATTACTGGCCACAGATGCGGAAGTTCGTCGATCAGTATGTTAGGAATTGCAATGTGTGTACCCGTAGCAAGGCATCACACAATGCACCTTATGGAGTACTTCGCCCCATGCCAATTCCCGATGGACCCTGGACAGACGTCTCGATGGATTTTGTGACTGATCTTCCTGAGAGTGATGGGTATAATGCGATTTTGGTCGTGGTGGATAGACTAACCAAAATGCGACATCTAATACCAACGACCAAAGAGGCAGATTCAAAGGAAGTAGCGAAGCTATATATCGATCATGTTTGGAAGCTGCATGGACTACCAGATACCATTGTATCTGATCGAGGAACACAGTTCGTTGCAGAATTCTAGAAGTCGCTTTGTAATCGGTTGGAAATATCACCAAAATTCTCTACTGCATTTCACCCCCAAACAGATGGACAAACGGAAAGAATCAATGCCGTAATGGAACAGTATCTCCGAAGTTATATTTCCTACCAACAAGATGATTGGGCTCGAATGCTACCAATGGCCGAATTTGCGACAAACAACCATGCTTCTGAAACAACAAAGGTCTCCCCGTTCTATGCCAATTCGGGAAGAAATCCAAGAATGACTTTTGGCCCTTTGGAACATGGTCGAACAACGGCTGAGGATCAAGCGAACCGTATTGCAAGAGAAATGAAGGATGTAGTAGATTTCCTAAAAAAAGAGATGTTTCGAGCGCAAAGGATACAAGAAGAATCAGCCAACAGGAATCGAACTCCAGCTCCTCGGTACCATTTAGGAGATAAAGTTTTCCTATCGACTCGTCATATTCTAACCAAACGACCTTCCAAGAAATTCGACTGGAAACGTATTGGACCTTATAGTGTTAAGCGCATTATTAATCCCTACGCTTACGAGTTAGAACTTCCCCGGTCAATGAAAATTCACCCAGTATTTCATGTTTCACTACTGTCACCTGATGGGAAGGATCCTTTACCGGGACAACAACAGTTACCACCACCTCCGGTTGAGATCGAAGGAGAAGAAGAATGGGAAGTCGAAGATATTCTGGATTTGAGGAAACGAAGAGGAAGGTTTGAGTACTTGGTACGATATAGAGGATATGATGAAGCCTCCTGGCAACCACTATCGGACCTTGAGCATTCACCTGATATTGTCAAACGATTCCATGAGCGTTATCCAGGGAAGCCTAAGCCTACCAGGAGGTAGGCCTTAGAGGGGGGCGTGGTCTGTAACGGCAATTAGGTATTTCTGGCTAGGTGATAAACTAGAACGAGGGAAGGAGGTATTGTGTAGTGGGATTAGGATTTGTAATGGGGATTTCTATTATGTTCTTTTGGTTTCTGTTATGCGAAGGTAATAGTCATCGTTGGATTATGGATGGATATATAAGGGGGTGTTGTCTTGTGTTTTTGTCTGTTTTCCTTCTTCTCTTCTTTCCTTACGCAACCTCTGTATTTATTCCACGAATACTATTCTTTGTCCGCACTACGTCAAAGGGCTCCAATCGGTTTATCATACCAGGTAGAGCCACCCATAGTCCATAGTCAAAGCATACTTTTACGTCTACGTCTACGTCTACGTCACTACCGAGGTTGTATTCCTTGGCACCACAGTCTATCGCCTACGGTCCCCGTGATACCTATTCAGTTAATATATCGAAGTTCACCCTTGGGGTAAAATAGTAGAAATTACAGACGAAAAATATTGTAACTACATAGAAGTATTATTTGCACTGTGGCGGTACTGAATTACATGATGACGCTACTCCAAAAATTCTATAGAGCCATATTCTGCAAAATTCCCATAAAAATATATAAACAATAATGGTTAATATAAAATGGGAATGCAGCTGTATGGGTCTGTTTTTCTGAAACCAGGAGCATATAGCCCTAAATCAACTATATAAAAAAGAGCTAGTTCTTAGTGGCTGTGGTTGCGAAGTTATTGTGATATATGTGAATTTCCGGTTTTTGTATGGGAAAAAAAGGGTTTACTCTATAAGAGATAAAGCCACCAGGAGGGAGCAAATCATTGATTCTAAACAGTCCCAAAATACCTATCTATGTCACTCTACTAGCTCCCGAAAACAGGCTGATATTGACAAATGTAGTTAGGAAATTTCCCCTACTCATTGTTGTCAATAGGTAAATTAAGGACAAATATGTCCCCAAATCGTTAGGTTACGGTCCATGGGATACTCGGTCTTTTTTATTCATCACAGAGTGCATATCATGTCCGACATTGGCGCATTTCCGTTGCGCAGCCAATCGATTGCTTACGTATATGGGCTTTGAGTTCATGTCTTGCATCAACTTGAGCTCTGAACCCCTGCGGTTTCTGTGGATACAAGTACGTAGCCAGTTGCAAGCCCTCTCTAATGGGCCGTTGGTTAAAACTGGAAGGCCCGGGCCTTTTTCGGGTACGCTAGCTGTAGGCTGGCCCATGGGACTTTGATGATGGGCTAGGCCAGGGCGCGGTGTACTTATAGCCTAGATATAGGTTAAGAGAAGTTCTTGTGTATGACCTAATATGAGGATCGGTTGGTCAAGATCTTGGGTCGGGCCAGGCAGAGCCCAACTTCTGTTCCAGGCTAGCTCATTCAATTAAATTCAGTGGGATTGAAACAGGGTCCCAATTAAAAATACTGGCTTCAACCATTGCATATTGCTGTGCATGTGGATGCTGCTTGTTTTCAAAATATACGTAGTGGGACGCCGGGGGATTCGGAACAACGAGCTTCCAACCAAGACCGAATGATGAGGGCCACAAACGAAGTGTATAATAATGATAGAATCTACCGAACGGATAACTACATCAGTACTTTGATATTGGATTCCGGTGGGGTTTGAGTGGGTTTCTCGGTATTCGCTGTCCGCAATCAACCAGCAGCTAGTATTCTTCATCTACGTGAACTGTATCGGACGACATTGAAGAGCACTACCATATTCGGTTGAAGTATGACCAAGAGGCTGATTGTAATTACTTCTATTCGTTCTAATGACAAGAGGATAGAGGGAAGTCCCTCTCTCGTTAAGTACAACTAAACTGCTGTTGCCACCTTGTATCTAAGCTAGTCGTTTACTGTGTCCTATCTTCAACCCTGACCCTTATCAATCTAGGCTAGTTGGGGCTAATCCCCACATCGGTCCTAAGGCGACAGAACCAGAAAGTTTGCTGGTTTGGTGGAGGTGCAGGCCCTGCAATAGGTATACCCGGGTAGCTAAAGAGCTTCGACTAGTTGCACCCGCCAGATCTGACACCCAACCAGGCTTCTCAATGGATCGCCCGAATTGTGTCGGCCCGGGTTATATATTTCGGGTACGCTGGGTCAGGTCTTCCACTTCCAAGAATTATTTTACCCTGGTAACTTCCAGCGGGTGTAGATGTCTTTTTCGCATCGTACATGATTTTGATTTGGTGTTTGAGTGATATTTCATGAGCCTAAACCTCAATAATTGCTATAGGTTTCTTTAGGAGCATAAGATAAGTGACAAAGTCGTTTACCGTATAAATGACAAGTATGTCCTTCACCAATAAATGACCTATAAGTTACAAAGTTATATAGGGACTAAGTGATTGGGTCGTTTAAAATAGTCATTTATATGACCACCGTTAATATATGGCTTAGTCATTTATTATTAAACGGATTTATACAATATTTTATCTCTGAATTATTTACTAGCTACGGTACATTTCTGACGGCCATTGCCTGCCGCTACTCCTAATGCTGATCCCCCACTACTGCCTATCAGTTATAAATAATAAAAATATTAATCTTAAAAAACATTATGTTAATATTTCCTACTACAGGAGTTATCGCCTACACCATGTGTCTACATTTTAGTATCATCTGGATTATGTTCACGCTCATTATCGGCTGGTAATCACGTATAATTCAGATAAGACTCTACAGTAGGGAATATGAGAGACGGCCTGCAGTGCCTAAGCATTTCCCCAAAAACAATTCCCCCTTTATAAGAAATAGTTCATATTATTCCTCCGCCCACTATATTACCCAACTATCCGGGCAAGAAATGACCTTTTACCCAGTCCACCGAAGAAAATATTATTCTATATCCGACCCAAACTACCCATTTGTTACCCAGGTATATATATACCCAAGTTAACCACTACCCATTAATATATATTGCGGGGCCTGCCGGGTTGGTAATAATATATGCTGATCTGCTCGAGGATTCGAGGTCTTTCTGTATCGCTCAGATTACCCCTAAGCGTTGGGAGATCGGCGAAATGAAGTATTGTAATATAATGTTACTCGTGTCCTTGCCATCGCCCTCATATCATCCGCTTCCATCAAGAAAAAGCAATCCCGGGGACCCAAAGAGCACACCCCCGATCTCGCATCAACCATAACATCCCAATTAAGAGATCTAGTCATCTCCCTTAATTCTAGCAAGGTTAGAGAGAGACTGACATATAAGATGGCATTAGGGAGAAGCTCATATTCGAATAGGATCGACTCCGCATTGATATCTAAATATCGTACGCGGGACCGGGATGAGGGGGATCGATATAATGTGCTGGGTCTAGTGCTAACGAAACAGAGTGTCTGAAAAAGTATTTCATAACCTGCTTCCATTGCCTTATACTCTAGCTTGCCAATGTTCTTTAAGGCGTTATATGGTAGATAGATCCGGTTAGACTGTGCCCCCCGATTGTTATATGCTTCAACTAAATTGTCCGCGGTACGACTACTGATGTTTACCCCGAGAGAACATAATTGCGATCTAAACATCTGGTTAAGCCCACACATCCCTGCGGACGCAGAACACGAACACCTGAGAAACTCCTTCCTTAGACCTTCCAACATTTCAACTATGAGCCATAGCCCTGGTTGGTTTAAATATATATCCACTGATCTTGGCGATCCTCGCCGGACCGGTGGTGGCGACAGCAATCTTCGAAGAACAGAATCAACTGCCCTGTAGGGTAGTTCGGGCCAGGCCCTTGTCCGTTTGAGACAGCCCTCGCTTAGCCAATATATATCCGACCAGACTGGCCCCGGCGATCTTCTTCGTTGACTCTGGACCGGTGATGGCAGCAATCTTCGAAGAACAAAATCAATTGCCCTGTCGACGTCGGGTAGTTCGGGACAGACCCTTCCCCGTTTGAGACAGTCTTCGCTTAGCCATCGGTGCTGTAAGGCCTCGCTCGCGGTCATTCTTCTATTCGGATCCGGGACCAATAATCTTTGAATAAAATCGATTGCACTTTCGGGTGCCTTGGAAGCCTTGAGGCGGTTTTTCGGGAAATCAATTCGCCCGCAGCAGAATTCGCTCAAAATATGAGTGTCAATGCATTTCTCCAGTTCACCGCTATTAATTACGAATCCACTGGGAACTGTTTCGTCCTCCTCGGTAAGGAAAGGTGTTTCCAGCGCCAGTATCTTGTGTACGAGACATCCTAGGGACCACATGTCCACTGCAGTGGTAAATTTTGATTGTTTAGAGGTGCGCAGTGTGGGTGGTAAAAGATTGAATAGCTCTGGGGCCTGGTAGTTAGGTGTTCCAACAATTGAGCGTAACTGGGTTCCATCTATTGATTTTGCCAGTCCAAAATCGGCTAGTTTGACTCGAATAAGTGATTTACAGGCTACCAATACGTTCTATATAGGGTTGTTTAGCTAATTAGAATAAGAAGGATAATTAGGTTGAGGAGACGAACCTGTAGCTTGAGATCACGGTGGAATACTCCCATTTTATGTAAAAACTCAAGACTTTCCAGAAGCTGTATGCTAATCTCACTTGCGTCTTGCCTCGCACTCTCATCCTTTTGTGCAAGATACATGGCGAGGTCACCATTCTCAACGTACTCCATTGCAATATATATCTTGCGGGAATCCTCAAACCATCCAAGAAACTCAACAAATAAATCCGTGTTCTAAACGTCATGCTTGATATCCATGGGGAACGCTCGCCACTCACATCCTTCAATTTTATCAATGTAAGGAGCTCTCGCTGGTAATTATCAGATCTTTCCCAAGAGTGTTTTTTAGTCAACTCTTTAACCACAAGCCTTTGTAACCCTCTCTTGGTAGCTATAGGGGTTCTCATGACCGACAGTGTTCCCATACAGCCCCCAGTCAGCTGTTTGACTTTTTCCCATTTTGCCCTTCCTCTCCCTCTAAGGTACGTATGTGTGTTGTCCATTAGAACAGCTCCCCATCTATGGGGGCCCGTGATACGACTGTTTTGGAAGGTAAGACTCTCCAGTGCGAATTTGGAGGTTAGTCGACGCGTTGGAGAAGCTATCAATACCGCTTTTAGGAATGGGAGCCATTCTATATGCGCAGGAGACCACCGCTCATGCCTGTGTATTGAAAGCTGAATAGACCCGTCACAGTATTTCTTCAACATGTTTAAGTACTCTGTCGATATGTTCCGGGCGTCTCGCAAATACCCTGGATTCGCCAATGGACTGCTTGCTCCATACATCGGGGACCGGACCGGTCCATTGGGGAATGGACTGGATAAAGGGTAATGGAATTGGGTCTTTGGGTTAACTCGAGAATAATCTGGACTCTACTAGAGCTCATAGGGCTCTAATAAGTAATTGTAGAGGTCAGTGAAGCTGATAGAGACCACAGGATACCACATATCAGGCGTCAATTGTTAATATTGAGCTCTTAAGCTCAGTAAAGATCATGAAGATGCTAGTGATTTTTTTAGGTTTGGTCTTTAGGGTCGATGGTTTTTTCAGAGGTTTCTAATGGTTGTAGAGATCATTCAGGATTGATATAAATCATTATTAGTTGTGAGTGATGAACTACTTGTCCTACTAAAACCACAGTATTCCCAGGCCATTCGCGAATAGACTGGTCCAGCTACAGATGTATGGGCCTAGAAGTCCATTCGCGAATTTGCCAGTTGTATTCGCGAATCCATCATATCTGCCAACAGCCCAGAACAGATACATTCTCCTTGTACTGAGGTTCGCTATTGCCCTCAAATGATAGGTTCTCGCCTGTTAAAATTTTATATACTAGACAACCTAAGGACTACATGTTGGCACTATCGTTTGAGGACATATATGCCTCAATTGCGGATGACTATATGCCAAACACTTCTGGTGCCATATATACATAGGTAGAAGTATGCGTTAAATATTGTGTATCCCAGGTCGAGTTTATCAAAAGCTTAACACGCATGGGAAATAGCAAGAATATAAAAATGTTCTGACAAGTTAATCAGTAACCTAAATGAAAGACATTGTGTATCAGGAGGGTAGTCACCGTGGACTTGAGATCACGATAGCCCTTTGTATTCCAAAATAGAAGGTCCCTCAGAAACTTACTTGCAATTTCAACGACCACCTGCCAACATGGCATTCATCGAATCCACCTCTTTTTCAAGAACCGAAAATGTGAACATACATCCCGCGATTGTCATAGAAAGCTGACCGATATCTATATGTATCGCTCTTGCTGAATTCAGTGGCTCCGTGCCGTCAATCAGAGGTTTCAGCTTGGTGAGCGCGAAACTGAAGTCATGGATCTCAGAGTGGACGGTCTGTGCTAGAGTGGCCATGTATGGATGTGAAAAATATTGCTTAAGAATCATAATAACATGAGCACCAGCTGTGAGGAGGCCTGTTAAAGAGGCAGCGAGTCTGATAGCTTCCATTATGGTATAATGCGGATGAGAGGTAGGTCCTGTTGTACGTCTGGAGCTTAATTGACAACACTACATCTAATTTGGTTACACAACACAAAGCTTGGCAGAGGCAGAGACCAATTCTAAGGAAGGTTACACAGAATTTAAGGAGGCGGGTTGAGTGTATTAATTCGCGGTAGCAATTGCCAATGGTTTGAAAACTCCATCCAGACAATCTTCCATTAGCGAGCTGAGATAAACCGGTTTTTTTTCCAATACCGAGCACAGGAAGATCAGACTATGGGTTGTGTCAAACACCTTAACGCCGACTGGCATGTGTGAAAAGAAAGGATTGCCATTTTAGAGGACAGTATTTAGGTGAGATGTACTACAAAGTTTCCAGTATAATTCTATCCCCTGCATTGTAGTTGGTTGATTTGACTGATTCGAGTCAGTGAATTATAATTCACAGTACTTATGCACTACAGCTAATTACATTAACACAATATTTGAGAGGAGCCTTACGAGTCTGAGAACAAAATATAGAAATCAAACTCTTCTGTATGTAATTGGCTTGTAGGCGTAGCCAAATTCACTATGTTTTACTAATTACAGTATTTTGAGACTTTCCAGATTTCACTGACTCCAGCCAGGCAAAATCTACAATCTAGGGGATAATAAAACGCTATATTAAGTATCTGAAGCCTTGAATGTCCATCGGAGCTACAGTTGAAAGGGAGATTTGGTCTGGAAACGCTATTTGAAACGTTCCCTAAACGGACCTTCATATAGTCAAATCCGAAAAGTCCACCCTCCACTCCAACCAATACAGTAATACGATACATATGAAATAGTAGTAGTGCTGGGATACTGGAAATATATCATCTAATGTCACTCGGATTTTAGGAAATGACTGTGCTGAAATTGTTGAGAGCAATGTCATACCTGTTAAAGCATGATCATGTTTTGTGAAATACATCTAAGACATGTATGGATAAAATTATCAAGATTGAGTTCTATCTTAACTCTCCTTGGCCTAAACCTTTGAGCGTAAAAGCGGTTTGATATTGCGTACCTCTATATGTGAAAGTTAAGTGAGGCAATAAATAAAGTTAAGATTTTCTGTATGTACTGAGTACTGTTTTATATTATAGCAGACTGTATGGGTAAGATATGTATGACATCGCTGATCTTCATTCGTGTACGTTATCTAATTGTGGTAGGAATCGGGGGCCATGAATTTGGAAAGCTGTAGCCCCAACCTCAATCTGTAGGCCATGCAGAACTTTACGGAAACAACCTACAATATTAATTTTTGTACAATGTTAGAGAGGTCCTCACAGTGGTAAGGAGAATACAACCCCCTCCCCCCTGCCCCTTTCCCATAGGTTCTAAAAGAGCCCTTGTTATAATTATTTATCGGCAGTGCTTTTAATTATATTAACGTTCGGAAGCTCATAACGCTCTGGAGTGATAAATGACATAAAATAGGTAAACTTTAGATGAAGGCTGTGTTCTCTCCTAGCTACAGTAAGCAGGTTGTTTTTGTGTCAAGTCCCCACCGGCTTGCCAATGTAGTTGGAAACTTCTAAAAGAGGAGAGCAGAGTTACACACCCTGGTCGAATACTCAAACTGCGAAGGTTGTGAACCTTCTTGTTGAGCCAATTGGGTCCATCACAAAACCTACACGCTTTAGGAAGAGAATCTTAGAAAGTTTTGTGTATGATCATGATTGGTTCAAGCACATACGGCATATTCAACTGTCAGAGTGGAAATGATCCAGACTATACCAGGAATGCATGTAAGATAACTGTGTAACGTTCCACCCAATTTGAGAGGAATGTAAACTGATTGCCAATCATTCCTGATCGCACTTGAAGCTGATATTTGAATACTTGCTACCTACCCTTAGTTCCCGACTCAAGGAGAACATGTTTGTATAGTTCTTATTCAGAAATTATGGGACAACGCATCCGCTCCTCATCAACCGTGGCATCAGTGATTCATCAACCATGGCACCTCCCCACAATTCTTCCTCCAAACAGCTCAATGCAAGTAGGCGAGAACTGTCGGAGGCTACCCGTTGGATGATCATTGGCGTCAGACAGTGTGGTGTCACAGTCCGACATATTTCCGAAGTTTTTGGTGTTCCAAAAAGCACTGTTCACAACACCTGGACTAGGTTCAACTCCATCGGCAGTGTCCAACCCCAACGTGAAGGGAGGTCCAGGAAGACTACTGATCATGATGATAGACGTCTTTATCTATCTACCAGGCTGAGATCGCAGTCTCTCTTATAAGGAGTTTCGTCAACAGTTTGGCCTCAATATCTCGGTTAGCACCATCAAGCGGAGACTCAACAAATTCGGAATTCACAAGTATATTAAAGCCAAAGACCCCTCTTAACACCATTACAGGCTCGGGTATGAATGCTATGGTGTATTCGCCATCGAGATTGGACGGTCGCGCATTGGCGACTCGTAATTTGGAGCGACGAATGCGGTGTTGAGAGACAGTCAAATCCGTTAGTTGAGTGGGTGTTCCGAAGTGCAAATGAAAGATGGCTACGGGAATGTGTCAAGGGGGTGGCAAAGTCTGGAACAGTGAAAAAGATGATATGGGGGTGTTTTGCTGGTGGTCTCAAAGGCACGTGTGGAGGTATGAGGGTGGATATGGGGGAGAGTGTGACGGCAGAAATCTATATCAGAACATTGGACTTCTACCTATTAGATTTTGTACAGGAACTGCGGGAAAGAGGTATAGATCCAATCTTAATGCAAGATAATGCTAGAGTTCATACGGCCGGAATTACTAAGGACTGGTTGTTGGAGAAAAATGTTGAAATTCTAGAAAGCTGGCCCCCATACTCACCAGATCTCAACCCTATCGAGCATGTATGGGTACAGCTAAAGACACTCTATCACAAATACTACTAACATCTAGCAGATGATATCCGAGGCCCAGAGGTTCTAAGACCTCTAATGGAAGATGCTTTAATTCACTGTTGGAAGTTAATACCTGAGAGATTGTTTGAGGCCTTGGTAGAAGGGATGCCAAGAAGGATTGAAGCTGTAATCTGGGCAAGAGGGTGGTATATAAAGTATTAGACATAACAGATTTCATTACTATATACTAGATAATGTAATTACAAAAGGCCGCTTCTTAATAGCTTCATTTGATAGAGTTCTATGTGGGTTTGTGGTGTTGTAGTCCTAGTTCGGGGCCGTTTCCATGAAGCTTGTCCCGTGATTTTTGAGCTCGAGCTGTACAATGGGATATATCCGGATTGGTGCCCGGCATTTGCGCGATAGATTACAGATATTAGTAATGCTTAAAAATACCAGTTTATAGTTGTGGGAGTTTCTCTGCCTGGTATGTGGTATATCAGACGTGTGCTACCCTTGATCGCATATCCAGTATGAGTAAGTCAATATCATACATTCCTTCGCGGCTAATAAGTTAAGAGGTCTCGTGGGCGCTAGCCACCCTATTTGCCAAGAAAAACATTTAGGTAAAAACAGCTAGAGGCAGAAGAACGGCTGTATGGTGAATAATTTGATGGCATGAGTTAAGATTTATATATAACGAGCTATAAGAAGCCTCGAATGTAAATTATGACTTATTGAAAGTAACCGGGTAACACATGTACATATATACATAGAGATAATTAGAGGATGACGGACTACATGTTTCATGGATTGACTAGTGGAGGTACGTGGTTACGAAGAGTTGGATTAGTCAGAAAGGTTATATTGGGTTCTATCGGGTTCTATTGATTGTTAATGTATGAGTCATGTTGGATTTGTCATCGCTGGGATTTTCTTGAGTATATTAAGGGGGGTTGTTTGTACTTTTCGTTCTTTTTCTTCTTCTTTCTTTACGCAACGTCTTCTGTATCTACGCTGTTTATTGCTATATAATATTACCGTCCTCTTCTTCCTTTAAGAAGACCACCGCCTCGCTTCCCTCGTATCCCGTCGAACCTTACCAACGCTAGAGTCCCGTAGTACCCCTATTCCGAGTTCTCATACCTTCTCCTATTGTACTCTTCGTACCCTGCGGAATACTCGCTACTCGCCCCCTTGAGATTACGTTGCGTCGTCATCCGCACCGTACGACATGTCCACCCCCGACCCACCTGTATGGGCCAAACCCAACGATGTAGAAGCATTCAGACAGATGTATGAGGCCGACTCTACTGAATTATTCGACAACATCGCCACCCTCGTCCAGCGCGTCCGCCTCCAAAGGGACACCCTCCATGCACAACTCACCGCCGCTAATGAAACCATTGACAACCTCGAGGAGCAGATAAACCGGCTCAACCTCGACCTCAATGTCGCCCGCACTGCGCCCGCCCCTACCGTCGCTGTCCCCGTTGCCGCTGCTCCCCCACCTGCTCCTGTCCTCGCCTTTAGGTCCGAAAAGTTTCCAGACCCTGAAAAGTTTGATGGCACCCGCACCAAGCTCCCCGGATTCACCACCCAACTTCGAATGAAACTTGAAGACAACCATGATCAGTTCCGAAACGAGGCAGCAAAGGTTATTTATGCCGTCAGTCGCTTGGAAGGAAGGGCCCTTGACCAGGTCGTTCCACTCGTTAACGCTAACCCTGCCGCCCCCTTCTCCTCCGTCACTGCCTTTGTTGCCCACCTGGAAGCCTCGTTTGGAGACCCAGACCCCCGGGGTACAGCCCGTCGCCAACTCGTTGCCCTGAAGCAAGGCAAATGGGACTTCGCTACCTATTACTCGCAGTTCCTCCGTATCGCGGCATACCTGGACTACAACGAAGGAGCCAAGATCGATGCCCTAGCCGAAGGACTGTCGGAAGACCTGAAGGACGCCATGACATACCGGACAGACAGGCCTAACACCGTCGAGGCCTATGCCACCATGTTGATGACAATTGATAACCAGGTTCGGGGCCGCAAAGCTGAACAACGGGCCATCCGGAATACGATGGGACAATTCACCGCCCCCGCCGCTGTCGCACACCCATCTCACACCGCCGGAGGCCTCGCCCCAATGGACCTCTCCGCTCTCCAAAGCCGTCCTACGCAACGCCCTGCCATCGAACAACGATACACTTTTATCAATGGACAACGCAAAACCTCTGCCGCCGAAAAACAATGGGGAAGGGACAACAATCTCTGTATGCACTGCGCTAACCCCGGTCATGTCTTTGCCAACTGCCCCTCTGCCAATCGCCCGCGTGGTAACCAACCGATTATGAGGGGCGCCCTTCTCGCACCCAGTCATACGGCCGCCGACCCCGCTGTTCCACCGGCCGCTAGCCCTGCCTCCTCTGAGTCGGGTTTTCAGTAGTCCCGGGCTTGATCAATGGCCTCTGCCCGGGACCTTCCAATGTTTCTCCTTTGTCTGCGTTTTCCATCTCTGCCTTCTCGGTATCGTCTGTGGAGGATAAATTGGATAGAGATCATTTTGTTGCTTCTTGTAAAATTATAAACAATAAAATATCCATTCAAACTCACGCATTGATTGATACCGGTTGCTCCGGATTCGCATTCATTGATGAAACATTCGCGCGCCATAACAACTTCCCATTTCTCCCCCTTAAATCACCCCGCACTCTTGAAGTCATTGACGGACGGCCCATATCTTCCGGACAAATTACCCACCTCTGCTACCTACCGCTATCAATAGACTCCCACCATGAAACTATTCCCTTCTTCATTACCAAACTCGGCTCATACCCACTCGTCCTCGGAATCCCCTGGCTCCAATTGCACGATGTCACATTACGGTTTAAGAACAACAGTATACTGTTCGACTCCGAATACTGCAAACGCAAGTGCAACTCTTCCGCGATACCCGTCCCCATTAAGGGGGTTGCACCACCGCCCCGTTTCCACCTCGTCAGTTCAGCTGCTCTTTGTCGCTTTGCTCGAAGGGACAAACTCCAAATCTTTAGTACAACTATTGAGGAGATAGATCAAACAATGGTCGAGGCCCCTAAGGAAGACTGGAGAACCCGAGTCCCAGCCCAGTATAAGAGGTTTCATGAGATGATGGACGAGAAATTCGCTAATGAGATGCCACCTCGCCGCCCCTACGATCATAAGATACCGCTTAAGGAAGGGAAAGAGCCCCCTTTTGGGCCACTTTATGGTATGTCCCGTGAGGAACTCATTGTGCTTAAACGATACATACAGGACAACCTCCAGAAAGGCTTCATTCAGGCCAGTTCTTCGCCTGCCGGTGCGCCTGTACTATTTGTTAAAAAGGCCGATGGAACACTCCGCCTCTGTGTCGATTATCGGGGCCTCAACGAACTCACTGTCAAAAACCGCTACCCGCTGCCACTCATTCGGGAAACTCTCGACCGCCTTTCTAAAGCCAAGTGGTACACCAAACTTGACCTTGACCAAGGGTATAATCAGATCCGAATGGCTGAGGGTGAAGAATGGAAAACAGCCTTCCGAACGCGTTACGGGTACTTTGAATATACGGTGATGCCCTTTGGCCTTACCAACGCACCAGCCACCTTTCAACATTTCATCAATGATTGCGTCCGTGACTACCTTGATATGTTCTGTACAGCGTACCTCGACGATATTCTTATTTACAGCAACACCTTCGAGGAACATCAAATACACGTTGAAAAGGTCCTGGAAGCCCTACAAAGAAATGGAATACTTTTGAAACCGGAGAAATGCGAATTTCATACACAAAGCACCACCTATCTCGGCCTTATTATCGAACCCAATGGTATTAAAATGGATCCAAGAAAAGTGGAGGCAGTGAAGAATTGGACCGTCCCCAAAACAGTTAAGGATGTGCAGGCATTTCTAGGTTTTGCTAACTTTTACCGCCGATTTATACGTGGATTTTCGGAACGGGCTTCTCCCCTTACTAGGCTGACGTGCAAGGACATATCATTTGGATGGACACCCGAAGCTCAAACCGCCTTTAACGCCCTGAAAGAAGCCTTCACCATGGCTCCTATTCTTACCCATTTTGACCCTGAGAAAGAAATTACTGTGGAAACCGACGCATCTGACTATGTCTCTGCCGGTGTACTCTCCCAATACGATGACAAGGGTACCCTTCCACCTGTCGCATACTTCTCAAAAAAGCACTCCCCCGCCGAATGCAACTACGAGATCTATGACAAGGAACTACTGGCAATTATTCGGTCTTTTGAGGAATGGCGACCGGAGATTGAAGGAGCTGCACACCCAATCGCCGTCATATCCGATCATAAGAATCTCGAATACTTTATGAGTACCAAACAACTCAACCGGAGACAAGCACGGTGGGCAGAATACCTGTCACGGTTTAATTTTGTCATTAAGTACCGACCAGGGAAACAAGGAGGGAAACCGGATGCGTTGACAAGAAGATCAGGAGATCTCCCTGGAGAGGGGGATGAAAGACAATTGCATTAGAGTCAAGTGGTATTAAAGAAGGAGAACTTTGACGCAGAGCTAAGTTTGTTGGCGGGTTCTTTCTCAAACGAGCCCGCTGAAAAGAACGCCTCACTGCATAGACTATTCGATGAAGGATTTAGCGCTGACCCGTTTCCACAAAAGATACTGGATATGCGGAATAAAGGTGAACGACAATCAAAGGACATATCACTCGCCGAATGCATCGAGGTTGAAGGCCGATTGCTTTACCGAGGCAGCATATATGTCCCCGATTACGACCCTCTCAAGCTCCGAATCCTCCAACTTTACCATGACGCTGCTTCTGCTGGACACCCAGGACGCGAAAAAACATTCGAACTCGTCAGCTGAGACTACTACTCCCCCCTTATGCGGAATTATATTGCCCGCTACGTTCGGAACTGCCACACCTGTCAACGAAGCAAGCCCAATACCCCTGGGAAACTCGGTGTACTTCGACCTTTACCGATTCCCGCACAACCATGGCAGGAGGTATCAATGGACTTCGTTACCGGCCTACCGGAGAGTGAAGGGTACGATGCAATTATGGTAGTTGTTGACCGGTTAACGAAGATGCGACATCTCCTGCCCTGTAATACAACTGTCAACTCCGAAGACGTCGCCCAACTATACCTGCGAAACATTTGGAAGCTCCACGGGCTACCCACACACGTCACCTCCGACCGCGGTACGCAATTTACAGCCAAGTTTTGGAAGGCTCTTTGTAAACACCTCGACATCGAAGCAAGGATATCTACCGCCTTCCACCCGGAGACTGACGGCCAAACCGAAAGGCTGAATGCTGTGATGGAGCTATCACGGGGACCGTAGATGATAGACTGTGATGCCAAGGAATACAACCGAAGTAGTGACGAAGACGTGGACGTAGACGTAAAAGTATACTTTGACTATGGACTATGAGGTGGCTCTACCTGGTATGATAAACCGGTTGAAGCCCTATGACGTAGTGCGAACAAAGAATAGTATTCGTGGAATAAATACAGAAGAAGAAGAAGAAACTTATATTGCTTTGAAGTACAAGACTTATTGCACGCCGACCCGACCGCCTAAAACGCGAACCAAATAAAAGAACGAAAGGAAAGAAAACAACAAACGCGAACAAACAAACAAGAACAAAAGCGAACACGAACGAACATCAACAAGAATAAGGAAATTCCAGAACGACACTCAACCAGAAACAACCCAACGACAAGGAGAAATAACATATCTCAGCGAACTCGGGCGTTGGATCCATCAAAACAAAGTAAAACCAAAGTTAAAAAGGTAAAAGGAAACCGCCCTTTCCTAATCCCGTCCCTAATCATTTCCTTCCATCCCCTCTTCTAGGTCCACCTCCGCTTCCGCCGACTCGTACCACTTCGAGAGTTGAGAGTTTTTTGCAAATTGTAAGATAAGGTCCGTTTTCAAGTTTGTAAACATCCAGTTTTCCCAGGTCATCGCTCCAGGGATCTTTTCTATCAGAGGGGCGCGGATTCGAGCCCACGCTGGGCATTCCATAAGTATGTGTTTCGCTGAGTTTTCCATACCACACTGGCATGGTTCGGGGTCTGTATATACCGCGTGTTTATCGATTCGGGTAGTTTGGCACCGGATTCGAAAAACTTTTTTCGCCTCCGTTAGGGTGAGTTTCGCAATCTTGGACGGGGGGCGGAACTCCCCCCGGTGATGGTAGTCCGGTATTGGTTGTGTATTCCATTCTTCCAACAGGTGGTCGCGTAGTAGTTTGTTTTGGTTCCACTTATCTCTCGCATTTCCGGGGGTTTGATATGGGAGTAGGAGGGAAGCGATTCGGTGTAGACCTGTCCCTTTGATGTTTGCTTCTCTGTATGGGAGGAGCTCAATTAGGGATTCATTGTTGGGGTGGGTTGCCTCGGTGCAGAGTATTCTGGTTCCGTACTTTCTTGAGCGATATGTTAGGAGGTATTCTAGGGGGGGTAGTCCTGCTTCTCGGAGGAGTTTAGCTCTCTTGGTCCATCGAGGTAGGCCCGTGATGATCCGGGCAGCTTCGTTGTATAGTGGTTCTAGTGATCTAATGATGTGGTCTGCGCCAGTCCACCAGGCCTCAGATCCGTAGAGCAGGCTTGGAAGGAAACCCTGTGTTATTAGGTGATGAACTGTCTTGACTGTTATCCCTGGCAGGCGGGCGGTGTTTCGGATTTGGTGGAGGGCTTTTAGGCCTTTTGCGATTGCTGCTTCGATATGGGGCCGGAAGGAGAGGGTTGAATCTATCCAGACTCCTACGTATTTCAGCCTCTCCTTGGGGTATATATCGATGTTGTTAACTTTGACTGGAAGTCGTGGTTGTTGTGTGGATGATGTAGTGGGCCGGAAGAAGATCAGATCGGATTTATCCGGGTCGTATTTGATTTGGAGTGGCTCAGCTTTAATTAGTCTTTCTCTCATTCGTTCCTCCATTCTCTTGATTGTAAAGCCTGGTGTTTTGGATATTTGCACCAGCGCATCGTCATCGATGTAAGTTGTGTCCATCTCTTTTGGGCTGCTAGTTGGGTCCAGAATTACTCCGGTATAGATCATGAATAGTACCGGAGACATGGGGCTACCTTGCGGCACTCCAGAATCATAGGGCTGTGGTTCCTCTAGCTCATGGTTGAATTGGAACTGTAGTTTTCTCCCGGTGTTGAATTCCTTGCACCATTCTGTCAGATAGGTGGGGAATTTTTGTTGGTGCATGATTTCCACGAGGAGTAGGTGATCGACACAATTGAATGCTCCTTGGATGTCGTTGGTTAGGATCGCTGGTCTGTCCCGCCGGGCGATTCCGGTGCTGTTTTTTAGTAGTAGGTTTTGTTGTATTGGTGTCAAGGTTCTCAGGAGGGCATCGATTGCCGAGATGGTTGGTCTTCCTCCGAATTGGTTTGCTGAGAGTGTGCCTAGGATTTCTCCGGCGGTGCAGAGTCTCTGGGCCACTATCTTCTCCAGGATTTTGCTGAAACATTGTAGAAGGGAAATGGGCCGGTAGGCTTTTGCTTCATGATAATTTGCTTTACCGGGTTTCGGGATCGGGATACACTTAGCTATTTTCCATTCCGCTGGATGTACACCGTGCCGGAGCATAGCGGAGAACATGTCTTGGATTAGAGTTGTGTTTGCTTTGACTATAGCTTTAATAAAGGTATAAGGGATGCCATCCGGGCCGGTCGCCGAGTGCGCTGGGCAGGAGTCGATTGCTTTGTTAAGTTCTTCGGGGGTGACTATGTCGAAGGTGTTGCTAAGGTCAAAAGAGGGGGGTCTAATGTTCAAGGGGGGATGGTCGGGGGACGTCCGTTTCGAGGGGAAAAGTTGAGCTCTTAGAGCTTGACACTTCCCCGCAAACGTTTCTTCACCTTGTATGGTTGGTATGATTGTGTCTCGTCTCTTTCCTGCGCTTAGGATTCTCCAGACTTCACTACCTTTCGCCTCGTTCATCGTCTTTTCCCGCTGGTCCGCTTTTGCTTTCCGGATCCTGACTGTCCATTCTCTGCAAGCCTTCCGGTGTTCCTCCACGTGATTGGATTTCCTTGTATTTCTCGCCTTCCTTTCTGCTGCGTTTACCCTTGCCTTCATCTGTTTCATCTCATCTGACCACCAGGAGTTGGCTCTTACCCCCTCCTTCGAGAGTGGTGTTACTATGCTGACTGTTGACCTGACCAGTTCTAGGAAGAAATCGACAGTTTGTTCCGTGTGTTCCTTGGTTTCCCATGCCTCTGCAGAGATGGAGATGTTTGACATGTGGTTCTCCAATAGCTTCCAGTCTGTTTATCGCCACATTCGTCTTGGTACAAAAGGTGGTTTTTCCAGGTGTAAGTGGAAGGAGGTTCTCCCGTGGTCTGAGCCCGCTCCGTAGGGTTCAGTACTCCATCGTAGGTTGTGGTCGAGTGTTGGGCCTTTTACAAATGCAAGGTCGATGGTTGTGGGCCTTTTCCCTCTGTCTCTGGGGAAATGCGTAAAGACGCCTGGCTCGTTCAGGAGGGTCAGTTTCTGTCGGGTTATCCATCGTTTTAACCGTGCGCCATTGACGCGGTCTGCTCGAATGTTGTTTCTGTATTCATGTGAATTTACTCCGTACCACATCTGATGGTGGCAGTTGAAGTCTCCCATTACTAGACAGTTATCAAGGGTTTGGATTGTACTTGCTATTTGAGCGAAGGGGCCACTTCGGCCTGGGGAGTATATGTTTAGGATTTGGGTTTTTTTGGTTTGGATTTCTACCGTGATCGATACTATAAAATTATCGTGTGTGTAGTGGTGTTTTGGTTTGAGATTGGCATGTTTGCGGACGTATGTTGCACATTTTGTATTGGTGTTGCTGGCCGTAAAAATATAAAAGAGATTTGATTCTGCTGGGTATCCCTCTGCTGAGGTCCATGGTTCTTGTAGTAATAGGAAATAAATACTAGAGTCTGTTTCCGCTTCTTCTACCGCCGCCTTGGTAATAAGTTCGCTCCGTGCACAATTGAGTTGGTGTGCGAGCGCGGTGGTTCGAGGCCTAAGCATTATTTGTCATGGGTTGGTCGTCTTCGGGAACGGGTGTGGCTCCGACTGGGGCGGTGGCTGGTACTTGAACTATCGGAAGCAACTCTTGAATGGGTGCGGACGGTGGGTCTTGAGCGGGTGGGGCGTTTTCCTTTCCTTTGTTGAGGAATCGGCGTTTGACTCTCTCGGGGCATGCTGGGTCGGAGGCCTTATGGATTCCTTTACAGTTCAGACATCTGATTGGGGTGTGGGTGTATCTATATCCTCCCTGGCATTGATTGCATGGGTGGAAGCTGGTGAGGTGATCTCCGGCACAGTGACCGCATCTCCCATTGTTTTTGCATTTCTCCTGGCGGTGACCGTATTCGAGGCACTTCGCGCACTGGGTGTCTGGGAAGGTTGGGAGGAAGGCCTCGATGTGGCAGCTTCGGTTAAAGAGGGATAGGAACTTAACTCCTAATGTTTCCATTGTAACTTGTCCTGGGAGCGCGATGACCATTGATGAGTGGGTTTTCTCCATTCGTGTCTCTGCTCTGGAGATCCAGCGGGGAATCTGGGCAAGTTGGAAGTTCTCTCCATAGTTGCTTCTAATTTCGGATGCTACCAGTTGTCCTGCCTCGGCGCCTTCTCCGACCGTTGTGGGGATTCCGTGAATGAGGAACTTTGACCATTTGGAGTTTGCCCGGATGATGGCGACTGGTACTTGTAGGGTGAGGAGAGCCTCCTCAATTTCTTTGGCGTATTCCATTGCCTTTGTTGCTGGGGTGACAAACTTAGTTTCCAGGATAAAATTATCCTTGGGTGTTCTCCTTGCTGAGATGAAGTGGCAGGATTCGTCCTGAATTCTTGCATTGACTAGGGTCCTGATCTCGGAGGGGTTGACGTCGGATGGAGCAGTGGTTTCAACAATGATTTCTCTGTTGATTTTGGTATATTCTGGCTTGAAGAGGGGGTCCGCTTTTGGCTTTGCGGACTTCTTTCTTCTCTCAACAACCTGGAAACTTCCTTGAGCAGGACCGGGTGCCGAGGCCACGGCGGCCCAGGTGCCTGCTTTCCATCCACGGGGTGGGGCTTGTTGGGGGGGTGCGGGTGGGGGGGCCTGAGGGGCTGCCTGAGGCGCTGCTTGGGGAATTGTTTGAGGGACCGCTGGAGGGGGCATTCTCTGTCCCTGCGGTTGTTGTTTTCGCTGTTGTTGCTGTTGTTGCTGTTGTTGGTTTTGTTGTGGTTGTTGCGGTTGCTGCGGTTGTGGTTGTTTGTTGAGGAGAAGGTGGATCGCCGAGTGCATACTGGTGATCATAGTTGTCTGCGCCTCGATTTGGTGCCTCAGTGTATCCACT